ATTGTTGAGTTATGCATTGCCTTTATCAGCACAATGCAGATGCTGCACCTCAGGCTCATCTCTACTTTGTGACTGCTGCGCTCAGCAGACGACTCAATATGTACTACACTGTTGAGTTATGTATTGCCTTTATCAGCACAATGCAGATGATGCACCTCAGGCTCTTCTGTACTTGTGACTGCTGCACTCAGCAGACGACTCAATATGCACTACACTGTTGAATTATGTATTGCCTTTATCAGCACAATGCAGATGATGCACCTCAGGCTCTTCTGTACTTGTGACTGCTGCACTCAGCAGACGACTCAATATGCACTACACTGTTGAATTATGTATTGCCTTTATCAGCACAATGCAGATGATGCACCTCAGGCTCTTCTGTACTTGTGACTGCTGCACTCAGCAGACGACTCAATATGCACTACACTGTTGAATTATGTATTGCCTTTATCAGCACAATGCAGATGATGCACCTCAGGCTCTTCTGTACTTGTGACTGCTGCACTCAGCAGACGACTCAATATGCACTACACTGTTGAATTATGTATTGCCTTTATCAGCACAATGCAGATGATGCACCTCAGGCTCTTCTGTACTTGTGACTGCTGCACTCAGCAGACGACTCAATATGCACTACACTGTTGAATTATGTATTGCCTTTATCAGCACAATGCAGATGATGCACCTCAGGCTCTTCTGTACTTATGACTGCTGTGCTCAGGATACGACTCAATATGTACTACACTGTTGATTTATGTATTGTCTTTATCAGCACAATGCAGATGATGCACCTCAGGCTCTTCTGTACTTATGACTGCTGTGCTCAGGATACGACTCAATATGTACTACACTGTTAAGTTATGTATTGTCTTTATCAGCACAATGCAGATGATGCACCTCAGGCTCTTCTGTACTTATGACTGCTGTGCTCAGGATACGACTCAATATGTACTACACTGTTGAGTTATGTATTGTCTTTATCAGCACAATGCAGATGATGCACCTCAGGCTCTCTCTACTTTGTGACTGCTGCGCTAGGCTGACGACACAATATGCACTACACTGTTGAGTTATGTATTGCCTTATCACACACGCTGACGCTTTGTGCACTCACTGCTATTCGTTGCTGATGAGAATCAAAGATGTTTCTCACCATAAATTTCTCATTGTTTTTAGTTTTATTCTCTTTTGTATTATATTTTCATGAAACATAAAATAATTCGCTAAATGAGTAAAAATGTAGGCATTGTTATATTTTTCCGTGTGATCCTTCATGTTTTACATACAAAATCATGTCGTATCCATATGAAATTAAACGTCTATTCTTGGATTGTAATTGGTTATAACACAAAACGTTAAAAACAACTTATCAATGGTTGTAGCGTCAAAAGTTTAAAGGGTTTGATTTCTTTTACGAAAATTAATTTCCATTAATTCGGCCTCTTCAACTCTATACAAGAAAACCACATAATAAGGGGGTTAAAATATGTGCAGACAACCAAATATATATTTCGGAATTTCCACAGTCCAGATGTACGAGGCTGTCCGGGCCTGACAGACAGTTGCATGCCGACGTGGCGTGCTTCAGTATCACAGCATATCAAAAGTAAATTGGCTTTGGAATAGTTTATTTTCCTTGAACTAGGATCACATCGTGCAGGTGCCATGTTGGCATGACGGTTGAGGCAGTCAGCTTTTAAGGTGGCTTAGGATCGAGGTGATGTGCTCTAGGTACTTTTGAAGACAGCTTCGTGTATGGATGAAGAGGTTCGACTATGTTCAAGGTGTTGACCCTGACAAAAACGTCCTAACGCAAGGTTGCTTTGACAATATGCTAACAGTTTAGAGAAAACCGCTAGCTGGAAGTCGTTATGGTCGATTAAAAACAAACAAGCATTCACCTGATTACTCAATTACACACTCAGTAATTTAGTATGGAATTCACTCCCGTTTTTAATATTAGATTTCGTATACGATGTGTGGAACTCCATCGATCGATGTTCTCATTTACTATGATCCAAATATATTTCATGCGATCAAATTATGTTCTGACTAGAATATCGGTCGACTGTCAAATACATTACTGGGCTGGATTTCACTAACTGCAAATAATGGACGTAACATTTGTTTTTCGTCTTCGGCTATATTTTCGTCAATCAGTCTATTTATAGAATTCTAGCCTAGTTATACGTAGTTGTCAATAGGTGTCTCTGAGAACAACCAATCATAGGCGCAATGGACTTTTAAACCCAATCATATATAGCTTTTATTAAAGAAATGTTTTCCTAATTGGAAAAACGGTGTATTCTCCTATTTATGTATTCTAACATACATACATAGACTACAGTACATTTGACTACAGCTCTAGTCAAAATTTTGGAACAATCTAAAGCTTTATAGGTTGATTGCACAAGAAGCAGAAAACGTATTCTCTATGATCAATATAATTCAAAATAATTATATTTTAATTTCTATGTAATCTGTGTAATTTTTACCGGTACTTATAAATTTATGTTTTTAACGTTGAACTATTTTACAAAACAGTTTTTTCTGTGTTACATTCTTTATCATTTACTTGCAATCACAGAAATGCAACTATTACTGACACAGAATAAAAATATTGTTACTGACACAGAATAGAAATATTGTTACAAACCACATTCTTCATTGCGGTATATCACATAAAGACTTTGCATCAAACGTAATCGTTCATAAATCTGCGTAATCGTAAATAGCAGGAGGACATGAGATCGTGTCAATGTAAGATTAAAATGAGACATGAATAGGGCTGTGTTAATGGTGTTGCGTCGGTCCGGCCGGGCGATACGGTATTTTGACGCAAGCACCCCTCCCCCAACAAATACAGAACCCCGCATCGACCCACACCTGTTGATTGTGACGTCACCAGCCGTTCAATAGCCGGGCTGCCGGGACACCGAACATCACGGTCATGGCGAGAGTTACGTAGACGTCATCGGAGTACAATCTTTGGTGTGAGAGACGTACAAAGCACTTAAGTTGACGTCACCAGCAGTCCAATAGCCGGGCTGCCGGGACACCGAACATCACGGTCATGGCGAGAGTTACGTAGACGTCATCGGAGTACAATCTTGGTGTGAAAAACGTACAAAGCACTTAAGTTGACGTCACCAGCAGTCCAATAGCCGGGCTGCCGGGACACCGAACATCACGGTCATGGCGAGAGTTACGTAGACGTCATCGGAGTACAATCTTGGTGTGAAAAACGTACAAAGCACTTAAGTTTACGTCACCAGCAGTCCAATAGCCGGGCTGCCGGGACACCAAACATCACGGTCATGGCGAGAGTTACGTAGACGTCATCGGAGTACAATCTTGGTGTGAAAAACGTACAAAGCACTTAAGTTGACGTCACCAGCAGTTAAATAGCCTTGGAACGGGGCACCGAACATCACGATCATGGCGAGAGTTACCTGTCATCAGAAGTACAATTTTGGTTTGAGAGACGTACAAAGCACTTAAGTTGACGTCACCAGCAGTTCAATAGCCTGGGTAGCGGGGCACCGAACATCACGGTCATGGCAAGAGTTAGTAGATGTCATCAGAGTACAATCTTGGTGTGAGAGACGTACAAAGCACTTAAGTTGACGTCACCAGCAGTTCAATAGCCTGGGGAATGGGGCAACGAACATCACGGTCATGGCGAGAGTTAGTAGATGTCATCAGAAGTACAATTTTGGTTTGAGAGACGTACAAAGCACTTAGTAAAGTGGATGTCAAAAGCATGCCAATAGCTGGGCTCTCGGGGCTCCGGAACATCACGGGCTTTTCAACAACCAAACCCGTAACCACAAGCCATTTAAGCTTTATTATGTTTCCCCACCTTGTTAATTTTCAGCATTATCTGTAACAACATCAGTTTGTTAACCTCAGTAAGTTGTTATGGACTCATTCGGAGCACTTTTGCCACTGTATCTGCAAATCACATCACTGCACCTTTGCCTATAGTGCTTCTATTTTAACTCGCCCCTTAGCTTTTCTCCCTGTATAAAATACCAACTAAGGCCATCCGTTCTTCTATTCTTGACTATATAGCCTAGACTAGATTTATCTTCGCTACCTCTATCCTCCAAAATTTCTTCTACCATATTCACTTTTGTATGCTTTGTCCACATTCTTTCATTCGTTCCATCATGTTGAGGTTGCCAAGGGGATCATCGGTTTGTTTCAATAGGGCCTTCTCTTCTAGGGGGGGGGGGGGGGTCTTCTTCTGTATGTACTATCCTTTTTGTCTCTATCTTCATTTGTGGGCTTGTGCTCTCCGTGTCTCTATCTTATATTTCATCAATGGGTTTTCTTATTTTGGGAGCTTCTAACCATTTCTGCTATCTACAAATTAACCAACTATGACAAAATCCTCACTGCTCACTACCAAAGACGTTTTTGACCCATTTTCATTCCCAGGAAGTTGGGACACTCATATAGTTTTGTATTATGCTTATGGCTGTATACCAGTTACAGGATACAGAATATGCCCATATGGCTCTTGATGAATCTTGCGCTCATGCTTTTCATCATTTCATCATTTCAAAAACGCGCTGTTCAGAGTTATGAAACTGTTCACTAACAGAGGCCTCCATCTCAAGTTTAGCTCAGTTGTAACAGCTGCCACAAGCTTAGATCGGGTGTTGGATAAAGGAGTCCCCTCTAAACGTAAAGTTCCCATTACCTAGACTGCAAGGGAGGGCTGGCTGCAGGTGTGACTTCTCAGATTACAGAGCCATTTTTCGTGGACTTGTCATGACGATCCTAGCTACCCAATTTGTCTACGTGATTTTCAAATACCCTTCACACACACCTCTATTTCACAGGTCGCCTTTGATAGGTACATAAAGATACTGACAATGAAGGTTGTGACGTGTAAAAAATGTTTGCCAATAAATAGTAAAATTGTTACCTCTATGTGGTTAAACATTATATGGGAAGTTATTGATTGATTAATGACTTTTGTCTTGTTACAGAATGTGTGGGGGATGTAGGGAGGATGTCACACGGGGAGGAGCGCGAGGCTCGGTCCGTGGCCTTGGAGAAGGCATATGTACATCAGGTAACAATGCATTAGTATTTTATGTTCTTGAATCAGTAAAAAAATCATGTTGTATTGAACCAAACATTTTGTTAAGTCTTGTCTTAAAAAAAATGGAAAACCAGTCCAGTAAAACGGAATGAACAAACAACTAAATAGAGCGTACCTTGGTATGATCTGCTGACTAAGAATCAATTAGTTGGCGTTTACTGGAACCCATTTTGAATCATACATAAGCCATTTCTTGTACAGAATCTGATAAAACCATATTGGACAAAACAACTTATTGGCTGGTACTTTACAAAAATACACATTTCCCACTCTTTTGGGGAAAGGGAAAGTTTTTACGTACACAGGTGACCGGCCTGTGGTGTGACTCCTGAATGGACCAGACTTCTAACTTAAAAACTCATCTACTCTGTTGGTCACAGTCCTGGGATTGTTTATCAAATTTCTTCAAGTCAGACCTAAGCCCCTAAGCACCGTTTCTGGCATTGCACATACTTTCCATGAACAACAGCACATACTCAGGTGTCTTAGCTTGAAAAATGTTAAACGACATTCCATTTGTTAAACTATTCTCTTATCACCAGTAGATGTGTTTCTGTACAGGTCTACCAACAGATCTCGGCAGCACAGTATCAACAAACAGAGAAGCAGTCGCGCTCCTGGCCCAGGGTAAAACAATTCTTGGAGGACCTCGAACCTGGCTCCCTAGTCTGCGATGTTGGTGAGTCATCGTAACTGTAACTGTTAACAAGTTTCACTATTAGGCAAAGACTGATTGTCATTTGACTGGCATGAAACTGTAAAATAAAATTATATGATAGATGGTTTTTTTATCTGTTTGCCTGTGTACCTTTGCATCTGTTTTTTCCAAGAGAACACAAACACTGCTTGAACCAATTGTAGTGAAATCATACTAATAAAAGATCACGAACCCAGTGATACCCAGTGAACCCAGCCTCTTCATGTTCTTAAAACTTGAAACACCTTTTGGGTTGCACCCAATGAAATTCCAAAGTTTAAAGTTGAGACTTCAGAAAGAATTATTGCATGGTCTCTGGGGAAAGGAGGATACTTAGACACAAAATACTTATACAGTATAGTTACAGAATTGGTGTTTTCAATCTCAAACAAGATGAATATGCTACAAGTTATTGTGTTTGTAGGTTGCGGTAACGGCAAGTACCTGAGTGTGAATCCTCTGATCTACCAGCTAGGGGCGGACCGTTGTGTGCAGCTCACTGAGGCGGCCAGGGAGAAGGAAAACGAGGTAAAGAAGTACAAGATACAGCAGTAAAGTATGTGTTCCCAAAACCTTGAATGGGTGACTTGGTAGATGTTTATAGATGCAATAAAAGAAAAAACTTAACCCTCAGGGCCCCAGGGATAATCATGTTTAATTATGACTGTTTTGATCATATTATCTCATCTTACAAATAAAGTACGATTAAGAAAAAGTTGCAAAATACAGTACTTTAATTGCCGTACAACTTACAAAGGGACCACCCATGCTGTCACCTTCAGATTCACCGCCTGAAACATACACCATGTGTGTACCTGTAAGTTGGTATCACCAGCAATCTCTGCCATAGACAGATAAGGGTGAAGTTCTCATCAACTGCATGCCAAACCTGGCCAAAAAAGAATCCAAAACCTAGATCTAAAATCTGGCCCAACTCGGGGAGACCTTTTGGTTTTTATGAGGTGTTTTTTTTGTGTGGACCTAGTCCTTCTTATTTTGACCTAAAGGTCTACCAAACTGTTATTACTATTACAGTAAAGATAGTCAAGATTTTAAATATCCATCTATAAACAAGAACTTTTAAGTCACTTATTCTGCGTAAGGATAGTGTTTTGCTGAATATCTTATTAGCTTATGGGCATATAGGTTGTGAACAGTATGTACTGTTATAGTAATTTTAAGGTTAAAACATTATATCACTATCCTATTCATTTACAGGTGTTAGTCTGTGATAATCTGGCTCTGCCCTTCCGTGACGACAGTTTTGATGCGGTGTTGTCGATAGCAGTTGTGCATCACTTTGCCACAACTGAGAGACGAGTGGGAGCGTTACGGGAGCTGGCTAGAGTCTTGCGTATCGGTGGAAGACTAGTCATATCAGTGTGGGCCATGGAACAACGGCATAGAAAGGTACTGCAACTGTGGTAATCATAAACATGTGTGTGGACAAAAACTGAGATAAGTTTTCTAACTCAAGAAAGAATTGTTATTTGTGTAACTAGTTTTTGAGTTTGAGTTTTGGATAGGATATATCCGTTTTAAGTTATCTTGATCATAAAGAGTGATTTTTGAATAATGTCTGTCCCTCTCTCACTCTCTGAGTCTAGCTGTATATGTGTGGATGCGTACAGAGCTACAGACCACAACTGTGGACTGATTTTGATGAAATTTGGTATGTGTGTACTATTCCATAGTATTTCAAGATTTTTCATTTTTGTTAACAAGCTAATGGGAGAAAGTATTTTTGTGTCAGATTGCTGATACTGTTTATTTGTTCTTAGTTTGAGTCTCAGGACGTACTCGTTCCATGGCACAGACCCCAACATCTCAGTACACCCTCTCTAGAGTTGACTTCCACCACAACCACCACCTCTGAGGAGGATGGTCCGCCCCCCTACCATGCGTACACACAGACCTCGGACAGTGACTCTTGCAGGTAACAGAAGCCAATATTATATTTTCATGAATTTCTTGAACTTAATATTTTTTGTTATTTGTGTAAATTAAAAAAGGTGAAAATATACAAATAATAACCATCTGCTGCTGTTTTAAGTTTACTAGTAATACATGGAATATTGATAGTTAATGCAGTTTTTATTCTAAGGCACCTTTCCAACCCAGTGCCGGATTTACCACTAGGCCCCAAGCAAAAGGGGCAGCAGCATTTTGAACAAAAACTTTTTTTAGAACAAAATGTAAAAATGTGCCACAATCCAGGATGAGGATAATAATGACGTAATGATATTGATAATGATGATTTTTTGCCGATTGTGGGTAGCAATATCCTTCGGTCCCCAAGACTGTGGGAGATGAACCCCATTTCCACCCCAAAGGGCTGGACCACTTTGGTAATTTTGCCTAGGGCAGCAAATACTCTAAATTTGGTATAGTTTCCATTACAGACTATTTTACAGTACATTTATTTTCCTTTGGTCAATATGTTTCTAAAAGATCATATTCGAAGAAAGCTCATATGTGGTATGAGTATGTTTTTGTCATTAAATTAATCTGATGAGTATTTGTTCTTGTAATTGACAGAGCCGGTGTCAGTGGTCAGAGGAAGCGAGGTCGTAGTCGACATAAAGGCAGATCCATTGACCCAACCAAACCTCCGACCTCCTCTCCCAGCAGCAGCAGTCTGTCCAGCCCAAACGAGACCTGCTACAGCTTTGTCCGTAGGGCTCTTCAGGTCTGTGTAATTTACCAGTGTTCAAACTTTGGTTTAAGTTGTGTTTTTTTGAACTGTTACATTTATAGTGTCTAAGCTTGACAAACATAGCAAGCAAAAGCATGTTTCATGTAGTTAGAGTACAAGAATCTTTAAACGTAATTTATAGACTATGCTAATGCTTTTATTGCTAATGCTGATAACTGGAATTTGTTTTTTTACAGAAACTTGCTGGAGGAAAACGAGGAGGATCACGACACAGACCATGGTTCTTAGACTCTTGGACATCATGTGCAAAAGAGCCTTCCTCCCATCGTTATGACCCAGAGGGTTGTGAAGATATCCACAACTTACCAATAGAGCTGCGAAGGTTAGAGGAAGAGCAAGAGGCACCCCAGCGGAGACAAACATTTGCGTGTTCCCATCAACTGTCGGATGCACCTCTCAATCACAAGTCAAAGAGTCTAACAGACATAATAACAGTGGAACAGAGAGCAATAGTGAGGTCTCGGTCAAGTGTTCCCAGTCTTGAGGTTTCACCACCAGAAGAACGGGAGGACTCAACAACTACGGAATGCTTAACCACTGGGACCAAACCGAAATTAGTAAAACAGAAACAATCAGTCTGTGATGAAGATTTGTATGGGGAGGAGGATGGAGACGAACCTACTGATATGAGAGATTTAGTCAAAGCTCTCCCTGAGTTTAAGATATCTGGTTATGGAGGGGTGAAAAGAGGAAATGTGTTCAAACAGAGCTCAATGAATGAAGAGTTAATGTCCACAGAAAGATTGCGGGAAAAAGAACGAGTCAGGCAAAACATTCAGAAACAAGCATCGCTAAATGAAGACCTTATGTTTAGAAGAAATAGAACACTAGATTCACTTCGTGATACACTGTTTTCTGCTTCAACTGCCAAAAGGTTTCAACTTTTGAAAAATGGTCTTTCAAATAAAATCAAAAGTTCAACTACAAATATTGAGAAGGTTGCAGGTGCTTCCTTCAAAAACGGCTTTGTAAGGATATTACAGGGATGGACAGGACAAGATGTTGGAGCTCCGATACCTCAGCCTGCCCCTCCACCCCATACACCAGCGGCTGACTCTAAGAATCTCCTGGTGGAAGAGAAGAAAGATACTGAAAGAAGACATTCAAGGGAAGATGGCTCAGACTCCTCTAAAGACAGTAGTCTTCAAAGTGACACAAGTGTAGACTCTGAAGACAGTTTTGCTTCTGTTATATTTGTTCCTAAGCCTGAGCCCCCTCCTGAACAAACATCCAGCAATACTTCACCCACCCTTCAATCAAACCCTGCTTCTCCTGGACCAACCTCTCCCAAAGTCAAATTTCCACCTCCAATCTCACCAAAGATGAAGCAACCACCTCAAATATCATTTGGAATGTCTTCACACCCTTCTTCTCCTAAACTTAAGCACCCTGGTGCTCTTCTTGGGTCACCTACTCCGGGTTCTCCAAAGATCAAATTCTTCTCTCAACCTACATCACCGAGGCCTTATCAAACAACCTTCTTGATCTCACCGACATCAAAATCGGCTTTCAAGCTTCAAGCCTCTCCTAATGGCTCAAATACGTCTTCCCCAACTTGTAAATCGTTTACTTTTGTAAATCCATCTACTTCTAAAGTTATCACTCCTGTTCCATTCACTGTTCCTAATATTGGACATATAACGCCAACTTCCCCTACTGCTGACCAACCCCGTCTTAGTGAAGTTTCCCCTATTCTATCCCCGACCAAAGCTTCAACAGCACCCACAGTTCCTTCTCCCAAGGATGGCAAGACTGCCAGCCTGACGTCACCTAAGGAGGAAACAAAAGCATCAGCATTCCTAGATCTGTGGCCAAGTCTTTCTCCAGGGGTCTCTCCCACCTCTCCAATTAAAGATTCCACAAAAAGAATCTCTCAAGATACTGAACCAGAGAAAGTGTCAGTGGATAAACCTACGGAAAAGTTAAAGAAAATTCAGGAAATCATCAAACAGAAAGAAAAAACAGGTAAGTGGCTCGTTAAAACTGTACCACTATTAAACTTAGCTTTGAAAAAAACTAGTTACAATAAGCAAGGTGATATTTGAGGGTTTTTTACAATATAGCTTCATAGTTAAAAAGCACTTTTCTGTTTCTCTCTTTTTACAATATATTTATTTAACTTTGTTAGTAAATAAATTATAAAAACTTAAGTTCAATATGCAAAATATAATTTTGCCAAGAAAAGTCTTTGCAGAAGAAAATAATTACTGTACTGTCCCATCGTCTGATGTTGAGACATAGTCTGAATGACTATGTTTTGTAATAATAAAAATATTGAGGATTGAGGAACTTAAATAATAGCCAAAATCACATCTCGTAAAATTTTTAGAAAAAACTGAATTTTTGCTGTTCCCAGTGTTGGTGCAATACTAGAAGTTGTCTTCGTCAATAAACACAATTCACGTTTGATTGTGATATCACAGACAATTTCGGAAATGAATGAAATTCAGAAAATACAAAATGCAAGATTTATTTCAACAAAAGAAAAACGAACTTGCATAAAAAAAAACAAAAAAAAAACAACAAACTACCTTAATTAACATTTTTAAAACCAACCAAATTGAATGTAAGTTCAGATTAATATTGAAAATAAAACAGTCTTCCAGTTATATGTAAATGCCTCTCAACAAAAGTTCAAAATATATATTGTAGTTTTAAATTATTAATGGGCTATGCCTAGTACGACAAAGTCTGCCAAGAAGAAACACTTTATTTGAAAACAGATTAAAACTGTATTGTCAAAGAAGATAGAACTTAATCGGTCCTTCTCAAACACATTCAATCTGTTTTCGGTTACAGGTTCGTCCAGATCGCAGTTTCCTATGGTGCGTCGCTCTGTGACTGTGTCGTCCCCTCGTAGTGGTACTGACACTCCCCCCACCCGGCCTCTGCCACGACTCATGTCTCTGGAACTGTTCAACCCCGAGACTGATGACATGGACAGTGACTCCAGTGGAGTCTCATCCCCTGACTCTGTAGGCAGTGTCATCTCTGTGCTCAATGACGATGATCATATCACTCAGGGTATGAAAGTAACATATATAATCTTAAGCTGTGTTTACAACCACATGTTTAAGCCTTTTGTTAAAATCGGCTTATTTCAAAACATTTGTCGTAAACTCCAGAGTTAACATGGTTTTTGACCATGCGTTGTCAACAAAAAGTTAACCACAAATGTTTCCAATACAAATAGCATATTCTGTAATATTACAGTTAAGAAGTCAAGGAAAATTGTTGTAATCATACCGATGAAATATCATAGTTACTCACAACGCTTACACAGATTGTTGACAAGCTAATTTGAGAAAGTAACTTATGTGTCAGTTTGCTGATACCGTTTATTTAATCAATTTGTGAAGTCTTTGAAATGTAATTTCCTTTTGTTAGTTGAGATGACGTTTACATATTTGGTTAACTAAAAAAAATCTACCTATAAACCTTAGGTTATACAGGCTGTCCTACTCAAGTCACACATACCCATAATTTTTTTGTATTTCATAGATGAGGTTTTACTGATGCTTTCCTGGAAATATCTTTGGGCGTATTCTACCTGTTTCATGCTATCCAATTCATATTTCAGAAACAATATTTAGTTTCCAGCACGTTTTTTTATGCTTTGCTTATTCTCTGTCTTTGTAAAGATCTTGTTTCTGGTGCATAAACCATCTTTGGTCTTGAAACTATTTTGATAATCTCAACCTTTCATAATTTTGGGGGAAATATTCAATAGTTTGGACTCTTCTCTCAATGCACAGTTACCCATGTTTCCCCACCCTATGTGGATTTTTCCTACCCTCTGGAAACCTAAATCTTTATACTCTTCCTCCTTTCTTTTCACTTTTATACACGTACAATTTTAGTTATTAACTAATCTAAATTTGTGTTTTGCAGAAAATTCGGACTCAAACAAACTCAGCGAGGGAAGCTCCAGTGATGCTCCAGACACCTCTTCAACCTCTGAGCTTAAGCCTTCATGTCTTCCAGTTGTATCCACTCAGGAGAAAATCCGCTTAGAAGTGGAAGAAGCTCAAATAGAAACAGTACATTCCCCCAGAATATCTCCTTCACAGAGTTTGCTTGAAGCCGCAGCGGATGTTGCCAGCAGTCTAGAAGAAACTGTGGATGCAGTCATTCAGTCGAGTCCAAGAGCCAAGCGAAAACAGCTCAAACTATTTGAAAACACAGACCCTCTGGTAGTACTACAAGATGATTTAGTACCCAGAAGGAACCCAAAATTTGTTGTAAGAGATAAGACAGATGATTCTCCATCCCTTCTTGAAGATTCATTCAAAAGGAAGGCTCAAGACCGATGGAGTCTACAACCAGAAAGTTCTGCACTGTTTGTACCTCTAGATTCTGGTAAGGCAACTAGCTTAGGTGCCATCCCCAAGGTCAGAGCAAATCCTCCTTCAGATGAGGTTTTGCGTGAAAAAGACACTTGGGATGAGGAGTGCCGTCAACACCTTGCTGATTTTGCTGAAAAATTAAGTGAAAAGCTTCTAGCAGAAATAGATAGATATAGAGAGCAAAGCTCACTACCAAGTATGAGTATAGAGGTTTCAGATTTCACCAGTTGTATACAAGACATGAACGATCCATACCTGAGCAGGCTAAGCGAAGATCTGCATGATTTAAAAACTTTGAGCTTAGAGCTACATGAGAGTCACAATGTAGTAAATCGGGTGCGAAATGGTAATACTTTGGATGATGCAACAGCTCAATCCTCAGAAAAAATTGAAGACAAAGTTATCGAAAATGATTCAACTTCAGAGAGGTTATTGGAACATGAAGCCTCAGAAGAGGTTTTGACAGATGAAAATAAGACAAAAGTAACTTTACAGCCAATGAACATTTTAGATACTAATTTAGAACAATCAAATAGATTAGAAGTCACTCAATCTGATCACGTGATGCAATCAGAATCGCAGGATAGTGTAGCTAATTCTACTAATAGTAACAAAGTAAAGTTAAAAGGTGATGAAATTGTAGATAGACTAGTAGATAATCAAGATATTGTGACAATAATTACAGAAAATGTTGTAGATCAGAAAACGGAGGTTAGAATTGAACTAAGTGATGCTGAAAGCTCAGCTAGTAGTGACAACAGCTGGGCTGATTCTAGAAGAAATACTATTCTCCAAACAGATAAACACCTTCACCTGACAAAAGGAGATAATTCAGTTCTCAAACCATGCAGTTCAACTTATAGCGAGGACGTCACAAGAATAGAAATACTCCCTGGCAGTGAGGTACCGAGAAGACCGAGTATTTCCATAGAGACGAGTGATCGTGTAGAGAAAGTTACAGCGAGGGAAATATTTGAAACCGGTCAACTGAAACCAAACATCTCAGTAGAATCAAGTGATGCCGGAGACATATCTGAAAGAACAGCAAGCAGTAGTGACGGTAGTAGGTCAGGATCAAGAAGAGATACTATCCAAATCTGTGATTCAGGAAGTGTCCTTTCATTAAGACCTGGAACTTCACTGGAGTCGAGTGACGCGGGTGATGTGTCAGAGCGGACGGGTAGTGGGAGTGAAAGCAGTAGAGCGGGCGATTCCAGACGGAACACTATATCCATAGGAGACCATACCAGTGGAAGTCAGGCCTCTCTTCTACGGCCTGAAATATCATTAGAATCTAGTGATTGTGGTGATGTTTCAGAAAGGACAGGAAGTAGTGACTGTAGTCGAGCCGATTCTAGGAGAGACACAAGCTCTGCCGGGAAGACAGCAAGTACCGCATCACTGGCCTCAGACAGGGCGAGTGATAAGGACGCTACATACGCGGACAGAAGGATCGCTAGATGTGACGGTAGGTCTTCCTCAGAGGAGGCGGCGCCGCAGCGGAGGGGCTGCATGAACAAACTGGTGCGACAGAGAGCTTCTACACAGGAACCACCGGAGACTCTGACAAAGACAGAGAGTTGTGAGACTTCTCTGAGTGGTTCTACCTCGCAAGAGTCCCTCATGTCAGACAGTGGCGGAGGAGCAATCACATTCCATCGCTACTATCACGTCTTCAGAGAGGGGGAACTGGACCAGCTCATAGAGAGGTACGTGGAGAATCTGCACATCATCTCCTCGTACTATGACCATGCTAACTGGTGTGTCATCGCTGAAAAAGTACATGTATGGACGATCTAGATTATCGATACGATTTTTAATAGCTTTAAAATAATCTTCGGTACTTTACTCGTACAAAGATCTTATATAAATATCCTTAAGTAAAGTAATTTAAATGTAAAGTTTTGATCTTATTTCTACAGAGTAGCTTAGAGGAGGGATGCTATGAGGTCATTATTCTAAATACTTTGAGATAGAATTGATACATTTTCGGTGTGCCACAATTTAACTACACAACCTCGACCTGTACATTTTATAGTAAAATATTGACATCATGCTTTCTAATATTTTTCTGTGGTACTACAAAATTGGAGGCGTATATTCAGGTTTTGTATACAAATAATTTATATTTCTTACTTAGGCAAACTAACCTAATTTGTAAATTAGCTTTTACAACTTAAATATACATATATATTTATGAATGAATACACATAATAATATGCTTTTTACGACTATTATTACAATTTTATTATAAGATCAAAAAATGGTTGTGTTTTGCCACTTTGGTGACTGTAACTTGTGATTATAAATCTTCAATAACATTAGAATCTTTTCTCATTGTTGCAAATAAGGATAATTTATATTAATTTTTTGGTATGAAGATTTCTGCCAAAATAATATTCCTGCCAAGCTAAGTATTTTAATACAGTTATCATAAATTACTATAAAAAAAGAAAATATTTTACCATAAATATGAACAGCAAATTAATTATTTATAATTACCCTACCATAATTTCTATAGGCTGGCGATGTACATTAACAAAATTAAATCTTTGTGTAAATTATATGCTGGCATTTTATGATACCGGTAACACTACATTTGTCCTAACAAAAGTTCTTTGCACAATCGAAACCCACTCTGTTTATAAAAACAAGCAAGATTAATCAAGAAGAGAATGTTAAAGTAACCAGTTTAACATTAAAAACACAAGTGAAAACTGATAGTGAGATTTTGTGATGACGACTTTTAGCTCTTTAGCATTTCAGGTCGATAAATTATTTATGAAAACCTAGAAACATCTATCCACAAACCTGGCAATATTCTAATTTTTTTGTAATTCAAGTCAATGGTGCTAATTAAAGGAATTACTCAGAATGGTGCAACAACTATTATGACTTCAAAAGCCGTAATATCATTTAATGACAGAAAACATCACTAAAGTAATAAATGCTAAACAACTGATATTTTCTCAGTTCGCCGACTTAAATATATATTAGTTTAAGCAAGTATGAATATATAAATTTGGCTAAATATGTAAATACTTAACTTATTAAGACTTCTTTACCAATGTAAGATCTGATGTCAAGTCAGAGATTACTAAATGGACAGTATTATGAAATGCACGAAGACAAATTTCCACTTAGTATTTTTAGCATTTAAGTTACAAATGTTGCTTTAGATGGAGGGGTTGAGAGAAGGATTCTCTCAAATGCTGGAATTCGAGAACAAGGATAATTCAGTGTAGTTTCAAAACAAATTCTGTTCAAACTACAATGTAATATTTTTTGTTTGGACTAGATTAGTTATCGAGGGACCACATTTATAAATAGTTGTCATATCCAGACATATATAGGAAACACACATGTGAGCTAGTCTTATATTACATTTTGTTAGAATGCTTGATTAACCTGCTAAACTTTTATAAAAATTAAAATCCCTTTGTTCCTTTTTTTCCACTAAGACAAATCATTGAGCATTACTATTAAAATATCATATATAACAAATGTATATATTTGCGGCTTCATAAGTGAAGAACAAATATAATAAAAATTTAAGCTTGAATAATTATTTACAATCCTTCACTTTACAATTTGCAAAGAACTTATTTTGAAAAATCACCAGTATTACATTGAAATATCCTTGTTCCGAGTTTTACAGGGTTGTATACAATTAATGTAAAATGCTTTATGTACTTTCTGTTGATTGTTGATGTTGATTTAATGTTTGGTGTTGACTATCCCTAAAAAAGTGTTCAGTGTAGCCTCAGAAACCATACTTAATAAATGTTGATTCTTAAAAAGATTTATTACATTAAATTTTAAAAATCTGTAAAACAATAATAGTTTTATTGTTCTAGTTTAAAAAAGTTGATATAACATATTATTTAAATAACACATTATTGTAATCATAAAAGCATAAACAAACAACTTAACATGTATAAAATGATTTTACAAGACCTATGTTACACAATATAATTAATTATCTTCTGGTATTTAAAAGAATTGATTAATATCACTTGAAATTCAAAATATATAGTCAGCGTACGTTTTATTTCAGATCAGTAAACTCTATTTGGACAAACTGTTTACATTCTACATGAACCTACTGAAATAAATAAAATGACACTGCAAGGTGGATGTTAAGGTTAATTGGAGACATGAAAAAGTCGTACTAAAGCCTCTGATAGTGTGCTACTGTTCAAATTCTATTTCCTCTTTCAACTTTTCATAATTTGATATTTGATGAGGGCACAAAAGTTACTGTAGTATACAATAAGTAGACCTCTTAGTAAAACAATGGTCTTAAGTGGAATGAGAATGAGCCTCTTCATTTAAGTTCTATCATTGACTATACACCTCTACGTAGAGGTGTATAGTCAATGGTTCTATTTTCCCCTTCCCATTTTCTATTCTACAATAGTTAAAAGGTGGGGGACAGATGCTAATAGTTTACAATGTCTTTTCAGTTTTGCTTTGTTAAAAGTTGGTTAATATGATAAAAATCGGTAATTGACACACACACACTGTGAAAGGCTAAATTCAAATATCCATTACAGTAGACCCTCTATAATCCAGCACTGCGCCACTCCTGCACTCGAGTAATACGGCGTCTTTTGATGGGTGTGGTCTTCCGCGATCGCGGCATATTTCTGATTATCTCCCGCGGTCGTGTAGACAATATCGTTATCTTCCATGATCGCGGCAAAATTCCGATCACCTCCTACGGTCGTGTAGACATTATAGTTGTCTTCTGCGACCACAGCAAAATTCTGATCACCTCCCGTGGCCGTGTAGACAGTATCATCGTCTCCTGCAGTCTTGGAAACGTCATATGCAATCGCAGCAATAGCAGTTTCCGATCGCGCAATCTTTGCAAACTGGTTTTGTGCATTTTAAGTGTTCTTATTGATAACATTCCAGTAATCCGACATTTTCAAAATTCCGGCAGTATCACGCCCTATATCTGCCGGATTACTGAGAGTCTACTGCATTATTATATGTTATTTAAAAAATTATAAAACTTTAATATGATAATGGAATATCTAATTTGATTTATATTTATAGCCATAACTTTAACATCCTCATTGCAGAAAAATGGAACAAAACTAGCACTTCAAGGTCAAGGGTACATATTACAGATGATTCTACATACACTGAAAGGTCAATTTGATTTGTTTGTAGCAAAAATTGTTGTCTAAACTTAAACAGAATCAGAAACAACTTGAAACCTCTATCAACAATATTATGAATGGCTACCCTGAGGCTTAAAGGTGTTGGAATACAAAGTCTTTCAATACATGTCAGGTTGAGATCAGCAGCAAAACATGCTGACTATTGTTCTTGTGACCGTAGGTTGTAATTGAGCAGATATGACATTTTTTCCAAGAATGTGGTAGACTTATTTTGAATACAACAATTTTCATCAATAGAATGAGAACTTCACATATAACAATAAAAAATCCTTTAAAGGATTCTTGTAGAAATTTATCACTCATTAGTAAAATACAAGTTTACTTAATTTCAGGATGTGGAATCTGACCCATCCTCAAGTAGGAAAGAACCAAGGATATGATAAGATATTATAACAATCTATTGATTTTAGCCTATGTGTTTCCCATTCTTACCACATTTGTGAACTAAACTTTTATGTTCTATGTTTTTTAAACCTGTAGAGTTACTCAAGATTCTAGCTACAGGAAATATCTGCTACAACCCATTATTGCATATTTTTACGACATCATGCACCCAGTTGGGTACACAATTGCCAAATGGCTGGGGTGTACCCACACAATGCTCAAAGTACTTTACCAGAGTGTAATGTACTTTTGCCCGACTCTGTACATGCTTTCTATGTTATCTAATACCGCGTTGATGACCAATCTGTTAAAAAAAAAAAAAAACTGTTTATGATTTTATCAAAGCATTGCGCTACAGCATAAAAAAGTACTTAAATTCTGTAAAAATAGTAATGAAGAATATACACCTGTATGGTAAAAACACTATTTAGTATCTTTCAAGTCAATAAATTAAATCCAAAGAGGATCAGAGAAAAACTTGACATTAAACATTTCCGTGAATTGTAATTAGTAGTCTGCTCAGTTACAACTCTACAAGTCTTGTTATCGTTGACATGGTGTTTATTGTTGTTTTGACTTTTGCACAAAACTGTGGCTTAAGATGTAAAAGTCTGTGTTGGAATTGAGTTTTCCCCAAAGGTGCTGATTACATATGCTTCTATCAATTGGGCAGTGAAGTACTTGTGTCAAATAAGGTTTCCTATGTTTGATAACAAATTATTTACTGCTGATAGCAAAACTTTTCAAGCGTTTTAGCTGATTTAATTTTTCTATCTCACTGCTTGTAAATTTTTCTGACATTGTGAGGTATAAAATGTGTAGATATTTTCATAAGTGTAGTGAAGGAATCTCCTGATATCTCATCCTCCCTAATGTAGTTGTATATTGTTTCTCCTCATGTAACATATTATACAAATAGAGTGTTTTTTTAAATTTTTCTAGTTTTTACTTATTTATTCTCTGGATTTACTAGAAAATTATCATAGGTCTAACAACTCTTGGTAAAATTGTGAGCCTTAAAATCACAAATTTCTAAGAAACACAATTCAGATACCTGCAAAAATGCTCAAATGCAAAGTCGACATTCTAGGTAGAAGTAACAACATAAAATATGAAATGCATATGGACTTGTAGCAAATTGTTACTCAATGAGAAGGAGAACACAATTGAAAGAGCATCTTAAAGAATGTTCTCATATTGAAGTTCAATTTTAACTTTAAGCTTTCCTCGCTACCAGTGATTGTTTAGTAGTTCTACGGTTTAATTCAATTCAATTAAATATTTCTTTATTCATTGAAGCACAAAGTACATGAATAGTGTCATTCTCTTAAATGTTTTTATATTACAATGTTATATTCTATGGATACAATGTTCTTAAAATCTAACATAAGTTAATACAAATTACAAATTAACGATCCTTCTAAAAATTTTAAAGTTCATCAAGGGAATACAATACCTTGTTGATGAGAAATGTTTTAAGACCCCTCTTAAATCCGACCATGCTTTTTGCCGATTTAATTTCATTTGGAATTTTGTTGTAAAATTTGGAGCCGGTATAACTTGGTTTTTTACAGCAGGAGCACACTTTTAGTAAGGTCTTGATTTTTCGAAACTGGCTGCATCTTTAACATGGATATGTCATGTCTACTTAACAATGGTATAAATGTAACATATTGGTACAGTTCATCTGTCATATCTAAGTTCAATGGCAAAAGAAAACTTTCATAGTCAGAAAAGAAACATATGTCCATCAAAAAGTGTATAAATCATTTCACTTAAAATTTGCTACACTATTTCTCACATTTTTTGTGGGGACAAGTTAATTATAAATAACTTAGCTAATAGTATGAAGGTATTAATTAAAGGTAACAAAAATTTAAAATACTGTAAATTACATTCAAGTATGAGGAATTGTTTTGTAGAAATATTAATCTCATGAGCAAAGTGTTGTTAGACATATCAGAATTTTTGGTGGAAAGTTGGAAAGAGATGATTATAGTTCTGATCTAAGGACATCATTGCCCAATGACTTATCTTGAAATGCACATATTTTCTATGATTCGGTGACGCAAGTTGAGTCTCCGTGCCTGTGGTTGTTTTTATATTTGTCTCGACCAGGCAGCCCCTACTCATTGTGTTCCAGTTGATTCATATAAACATGTTGAAAATTGTGTGTGGTTTTATTTTACCATTGTTCACAACTCTTAAGCTTTTCACTCTGTTTTGTACAACACAAATGTGATGACAGCCCTGCTCAGTGCAACTCCAATTCTTTCATGTTTTAAAGTGTCGAACGCCTTTGAAAAATCTATAAAAATCACTAAAATATTATTTCCAATGCTCAATTCACCATTTAAATAATCCGAAAATCAGCCAATAATTCATTTGTACCTTTGTTTTTCTGGTATGCATAATGGAAGGGAACTTATTATATTATTATTCTCTAAGTGTGTTGTCAGGCAATTTGCTACATAACGTTCCAGTGACTGTATCTACTGATGACAAGATTGATATTGGGAGATAATTTGAATAATCAAAGTGGCTTCCAGATTTATAAAAATGTCTAATTATTGAGTTTTTTTAAGATTCTGGTACTTATGCATATCTGAGAGATTAGCTAACAAGTTTAATATGTTTCGTAATATGTAACAACGATTAAGTTAGTATGTAATCGTACATATATCGTAGTTCGTTATTTGTAACGAAACATATAAGACGATAGGCCGGCCACATTTAACACGGGACAAACCGATGCAGGTTACACGGCGGACACGACAGAACAATCCCTCTGTAATTTGTGTTTTTTAAATAATAAACTTTATGTGTTGACCTGTATTTATATAATGATGAAGACTTCTGTCGGATTTTTGACCATCTTCTACACAATGCTTTAAAGGATTTGATAATGGGTCTTTGTACCCGAAACTAGTCATCCATAGACTAAAATAAGACTGAAGGCGGACCAAGGTACATAACCTATTATATATTTGAATATCAATCTTGGTGGCAAAGATGTTTAAAATAAAAATTACCTTAACATATTGAACCTTAATAATAATTTAATAATTTAGGATATTTTGTGATAGTAGCACTTGTGCTTGAACGTCAAACAATCTGAATCCAAACCTTTTAATATTCAATCCAATCTAAACCGAGCCTTAACTAACTGACCTGAATCTGATCATCACACCATCCACACACCTCTACAACATTACATGTTTATCTGCAAGAACATTGATAATACCTGACAAAGTTTCAAGTAAGGGAGTATTTCAAATAATGTATGGTAAATCACAAGACATTTATTCATATAAAATTACACAAGAAACAAAATCAAATAAAATTGTTTCAAATAAATTAAACAAATTTTTAAATCACAAAACTTTTTTAACACATTAAATACATTTTAAAGCAATTAAAAAGCCCACTCTGCTATTAAAAACTAAAAAACAATACAAGATTAATCTGTTACTAAATGACTTTTAGAATTAAAATCTAGACAAAATGTACATTAAATTAAAGCTCAGTAAAAAAGATATTTTTATTAATCTCCAAACACTATTTTTGTAACAACTCAAAATAGTAATTTCAAAAAGCATATTATATCATTACATATTATTACATCATATATATGCAAAGTGAAAATTTCAAAAATAAACAATGTTATTATTGTGTTTCAATAATATGACAGTATTAATGTTGAACTAAGCCAATTAGAAGTACAATAACTTTAAAACTCAAATTAATAATTAAATTATTTACATTCATAAAATAATATAATTTAACACAACAATACTGATGAAATAGTTAACAAACTTCTATTTCATTCAAATAAAAAAACCTCTGCAAAAAATCACTTGTATGTTATGTCATATCACTCGTATGTTATGTCATGATGATTCATTTGTCACTGAGTGAACTAATGTAACCATATTTGCTAAATATGAAATTGTTACATAATGTAGTACAATTTATTTAATTAATACTTGATTAAATAGGATAGGATATACATTTTTTTACTAATTCAAACATCAATAGTATGCTATAACACTGGTGTGATTAACATGTAAAATTGTATTCACAAAAGGACAAGAATGAGTCTGCTGTAGACGAGGACAACAGTTGTATATTTTTCTTATCACACTGTAAAATTAATATTTGTCTGCTGCCAAAGAAAATAATCTTGCTAATAAACAATATTGTACAGTTAAATCCTTGTGTCACATTGTACATTTCACTGTAGGCCTAATATATAATGGTACAATAAAAGACCGCTATCTGGCATCCGATGGTCAGGCACTTTCAATAATCCGGCCACGAGCTAAAGGTCTAAAAATTTTTTTGAATGGTGATTCCAGCCATATTAGCACGTTCGGCAGAGTCGCTGGAGTTTACAATAATCCGGCACTGCCAGAGTCCGTACGTAACTTTGGAGGATTAGGGAAGTAGTGAACCTCTACTGTATACCCCTCTATCAAAAAATTCAGACAACTTGAAATGTACACGATTTTTGTATTTTAAATCTTTAATTAATTTAGTTTTACAGTCGCTCACTAGGTATGTTATAAAATAACCCTGCCGCTGCAAACCTGCAGTCTAAGGGAATTTATATTCGCATGATCTATTTTCACTAAAATATCTCCTTAAAAATGTAATTTATTCCCAATTTAAATAACATTAGTTTAATGGGTACTTAGGTCTGCTGTTACAGAGAATAAAGAAGTTTTTTTTCTTGCAAAATGTTGATAGTCTAGTATGAAATATATAGATTTTCCAAATGCAAACTATAACAGTTTACGTATAGTATGGGAATTTTAAATTAACAGTTTTTTTTTTTATTTTATTAATGAGAAAACTAATTATTAACCCATAAACCTCCATCCCCTTAATCTGATCATGCTGGTTTGCAAACTCGTTAAAAGAAGCATAGGTTTACACGTTTGTACAAAATTTCATCAAAATATGATCATGTTTGCTCGCGTTATCATGGTAACTTAACGGACACATATATAGATATGAATTTGAACATGTGGTACAACAATTAGTTTTAGCCTTCGGGGATCTCATAACAAAAAAATTAATTTGTCACGAGTCGAGGTCTTACAATAAGACGGTAATAGCTTATTTCCTATTGAAAATTCTTTAAAAACTTTGTAAAAAAAGTTTTATTTTGGCTTCAAAATTTTGGTGTTGGGTAGTACCTAGTACCACAGACCATCTGAGCGGCATAGAGGACAGATTCATCCCCGACTGATTAAGACAACCTGAAATAGTCTTTTGGATCTCTCAGGGTTAACATTCAATTAATAGTCAGTGAGTATTATATTACAGTCTTTTTAGTACCCATACTAGTATTGCAGTATTCTTCATGAAAGACACTTAAAAGCTTTAGAGGGCAAATGGTCCTCACCCCTTAAACGTTTGTGCATATCACATGGATCTAACCTCTCCCTCCGACACCTTATTCATTACAACACACCTTATACTGTAGAAGAATATTGATCATAAAGGAAGGATTCAAATAAAGATGCCAAAATGTATATTTCTAATCACCTGTAACCTGTAACCTGTTATTAATTTGACAACAATAATTGGCAGTAATGTATTGCTTCTAAACAATAATTACCTTTGCAAAGCTTCAGCTTCAATACTAACATAAGCCTAACTGCGGTGGCATACTGTAGTCGTAGAAGAGCTAGTAACTCTAGACAAAGTAAGCCGCAAGTTGTGCCATCTTATCCTTGGGAGGGCGAGGTTTGCCCCGGCTCCGTCCTCTGCCACCTCTACCCCGCCCTGCGGTCACTGGTTTGCTGGCGACTGCTCGGTGTTTCTCTACCAGGGTTGAGAACTGAGGAGAGCAGAACACACATCCTGACATGTCTGTAGCCTCATCTGGCAGCTTGCTCTTCTCCTGCAAACACAACAAGTCAATCATCTATACAGGAAAAGTTTCTTTTTTATCATACAGTTGGATAAAGCCAGACTGTCCTTTATCATTGGGCCTTTATAATGAACCTGGTCAGAGAACCAACCATGGGCGCCCACAAATTGACAGGGAGGGGCTAGATTAGAAAATATTACTTTTTGATATTTTATACAAAAAAAAAACAAAAACAGTCTTAATGACACTACAAATACTCCAGTTTTAACAATACTAGTTAACAGCCCGTGCTCCGCCACGGGAATATTGTCAGCAATAAAAGAAATAATAATTAACAAATACTGTTTATCTTTGTATTTTATTTAGGGGTTGTTTAATTTTTTACATGAAATAGAACTGATAGTTTGCCTGTATAAAATATATTATGTTAATCAAACCGATATATTATTTAACCAAATGAATGTTTTTTAATTCGAGTTTCATTTGAAAAATAAATAGTATACAAACTGGGCAATGCTGATAACCTAATAAGCAGCTATTTAGATAATTTGCTCAAGTAGGCTATATTCCTATATTCGTCTTTTTTTCATTACATTTGTTGTATGGAATAAAGATAGTCACATAGCCTACATGTAAATCACGCATCAGCAGTTGGTCGCATTTCACGAATCTTTGACCCATACTGTGAGTAAAAGCTGTGTTTACGTCGTATATATAAAGTTGGGCATACTTTGTTCAATGTTAGAGGGTATTAACGGTCCAATTTGATGGAAAAGGAGTCGTGGATTTTAAAACTATGTAGACTACCACTACCAGAAAGATGTTGATTCAAGTGAGACTTAGAACTGGCCATTTCAAATGCAGATTTGTATTATATTTTACTCAAATAGTTTTTTGTCTCTTTTGACCCTTAATACTTTTTTTTATAGTCGCTGTTGATAAGATTTTCCATAAACTCAAAATGTTGATAAGGAGTTCATTTTACCTTCCCCTTGTGACAACATAAGGAAAAATATTTGTGTCCCAGTTAGTCTGTTCTGACTCAAAATTCATAGATTTGCAGTACTGACAAATCCAATCTAACAACCCCAATTTTTAAAAAAAATTGGTATTTTTTAGTAGGGACTTCCAGAGCACATTTAACACCAACACTGCTCTTTACCTTTTTAGTTCGATGGTTCTCTAAATTTTTTTTTCGTTCGGTATGTCTCTTTACGCCCGGTTAATGATTTCCTTTTCTTTTTCTTTTTGTACTTTTCACATCATGGGTTTAATGATAAAGTTTTATAACGCTATAATGACCTGAGTCAACATTGCCATTAAACATCAAGTCAGATACTTCTTCGCCAGAACCGAAATCGTAAGTCACAGTTTCTCAAGCAACTTCCCTGTGTACTTGAAAAAAAAACATCACTGATATATTGTAGTTCCACGTATCCCAGCGTACTTGCCATCTCGAGAAGGTAAAGTTTGGTACCAATGAACGTCTAACACTGATCTTGAGTAAGATTCGTCACCTACTATAACATGTTTGTATGTTTCCCACTCATTAGTAATTATATGTACAACTTGCAAGCGGATTTCCCCATGATTATTCTGGTGGCCGTAGAGAATAAATTATATTGATAAAAACAATAAGTTTCCGTTCCCTACTATGGGTATTATTTCACATTCCATACTCAAACTTAAACTCAATTACCACTTTCCTTCAGATCACTTTGCAGGAAAACTAAAACATTTCAAAAATAAGTTAACAAATACACTTTCCTTGATCAAAATCGTGTGTTTATAAACAGAAACTCCATGTTTAATAATTGCATACTGAAAGTGAGGTTATAAAAATAATAACAAATGTCTGACAAACATTAAACAGCTGACGAATAATGTATAAACTGTGTATTATATTCTTCAAAAAGAATTGTATTGACTCGACCTTTAAAGGGCTGTAGGTCGTAGCCCTTAGAAAAAACGTAAATTCTAAGGAAGTTCGGCAAATCTACACACTATCCCCTTTAATTTGAGACATAAATCTTGTAGATCGGTCCAGTAATTACTGAGAAAACAGTGTTACAACTGTGTATTAAATATATAGATTGAAGAAGTGATTTACAACGTTGAAGAAGTTTATTTAGTTGGTTAATAATTGGAAAACATTTTGACAAAAATATGTTTTTCACGACATATAATGCATCTAATTTTCTCTTTTCTTGAAAGCTAGGGGGAAGCTGCCACCCTTGGCCCCAAGTTGGAACCAGCTGGTCTTAGGCACAAAGCTATAATCTAATCCATTCCACACTTATCCCCTGATGTGTAGGAGTCGTAAAAATAATATCTCTAAATACAAGACTTATTTTTATTTTATATTTTATAAAGAGGTTGGCGGCCTCTTTTAACCTTGCATTTGCCTGTCCACATTGACTAACTGCCCGTGAGTGGAACGTATCCACTATCCAGCAAAGCAAGGGGTAAGCCGGTAAAGTCCAAAGGCGAACTGTACTGATCAAATGTTTTCGGTAGAGGCGAGGATCCGAACCAACGACATTGCTGCCTTGGGTCCAAAGTCCATGACGATACCGACTGAGCCACTGACTATATATAAACATTAAATAATTGACATAATAGCAATGAGAAAAGTGAGAAAACATTATTACAGTACAACTAATTATCCTATGTTTGACATACTGGATGGACCGATTCCTTTGTTATTTAAACTAGGGATGGACGGGATTGAATTTTTAGTTCGGGACGGGATTTTTATTTCCTTCCCGATTTTCGGGACGAGACGGGACGAGATTTTTTCCTGTGGATAAAAAGAAAGTCTTGAGTATTGCAGTTACAAAAAAAAACAAACGAAATCAATTTTTACCGTTTTTTGCACTGATCAATAATAACAAAAAAATGGTTTAGTTACAACAATTTACAGGTACCTATAGAAACTTGTGTCATACGATCGTCGGTATGACTCCACGGTCACGGCGCGATCGTTGGTATGACTCATCATCACGGCATGATCGTCGGTATGACTGCGGTCACGGGACGATCGTTTGTATGACTTGCGATCACGGCATGATCGTCGGTACGACTCCGGGGTCTCGGCGCGATCGTCGGTATGACTCCGTGGTCACGGTGCGATCGTCGGTACGACTCCGTGGCCACGGCGCTATCGTCAGCATGACTCCGCGGTGACGGCGTTATTGTCGGTATGACTGCGGTCACGGGGTGGTTGACGGTAAACTCCGCGGTCACGTCGCGATCGTCAATATGACTTCACGGTCACGGCGCGATCGTCGGTATGACTCGCGGTATCGGCGGGATCGTCAGTATGACTCCGCGGTCACGGCGTGATCGTCGGTACGACTCCGCGGCCACGGCGCGATCGTCGGAATGACTCCATGGTCACGGTGCTATGATCGTCGGTATGACTGTGGTCACGGGACGATCGTCGGTATTACTCCGCGGTGACGGCGTGATCGTCGTTATGACTCCGCGGTCACGGGGTGATCGACGGTACGACTCCGCGGTCAAGTCGCGATCGTTGGTATGACTCGCGGTATCGTCGGTATTACTCCGCGGTGACGGCGTGATCGTCGTTATGACTCCGCGGTCACGGGGTGATCGACGGTACGACTCCGCGGTCAAGTCGCGATCTTCGGTATGACTCGCGGTATCGTCGGTATTACTCCGCGGTCACCGCGATAGTCGGTATGACTTTGCGGTCACGGCGCGATCGTCGGTATGACTCGCGGTATCGTCGGTATGACTCCCTAGTCACGGCGCGATAGTCGAAATGACTTCGCCGAACATATCTCGCAATAACGGCGTTACCGTCGCTCGCGAAGCGGCAAAATCGCCTACGATCGGACCAAATCCCGTCCTGAAAAATTCCCGAATTAAATGTAATCCCAAATATCGGGAATATTTTTTTCCCAAAAATTTCCCGAAATTTCGGGACCCGTCCATCCCTAATTTAAACCACACTTTTATTGGTATTGGTTTAAAATAATTAAGCTCACAGCTTAAGCAAATTGGTAAGTGGTAGACTATAAATAATAGAGTATTTTGTGCTTAGTTTAAAACTGTATATTTCATTTACATTATTTTTAAATACTGTATTTATTTAAAAAATATATAACCTGTGTGCAATAAACAATCCTGTTAACAGCTAACAGTTCATATAAAATGGTTTGTTACCTTTTTGCGTCAAACAATCTGTGTTGTGCTTTTTAGCATCAGCTACAGCTGTTTCATGCCGCTGGGGCACATCTTCAGGTTGTCAGAACGTTAAAATAAAAAGCGCTTTCATCCATATATGAATTTGTCACGATATACAATGTCTATTATACATGAAATACACAAAAAAACAACATTTAAACAATACGAATTGACAAACTTGGCCAAGTGACGAACACACGAGATAGGCGCCAGTTTAAATGTTTTTTTTTTGTGTATTTTGTGTATAATATACAGTATACATCTTAACAAATTCATCTACGGATCAAAGCGCTTTTTATTTTAACGTTCTGACAACCTGAAGATGTGCCCAAGCAGCATGACACAGACGTACTTGATGCTAACTACAACATGGATCGTTTGATGCAAAAAGGTAACATAAACCATTTTATATTGCAATTTTCGATCCAGGTCACCATGTAACAGTTCATTGTAAAAAAATCTGAAGATCATTGGATCTAAAATAGCGTAGTGTGTCTTACCTAATGACTTAATACTTTTTGATAATAATTTTCTGAAAATAACACCACTTACAGGCTTGTATTCCACAGCTACAGTTTGAGCTCCGCACTCACACACATCCTCGTTGACACTGACTTTGGCTGCGTCGTCGAACAGGTGGATTATTACATCACATCTGAAACATAATACAAAACAACTCAACTTCAGAAAAGTATTTTCCTTAGTCTTCAATGTATGCCCCTTGTTTTCCAGGTACAACAAACACTGGAAAGCTTAAATCTGAAGCCTCGTCTTTATCGGATCAAATTTCAAATTAAAATAGTTTAAATAGGCCTTGAGCCCTATATTTAGAATAAATCAATAAAAGCAAACATTGATTAAGTACTGAGATGAAAAAATTACTGCTAATAGTTATGGATTCTATTGGAATAAGAAATTTGTGACAATATTCATCGAATCGAATAGAAAATTCTTGGCTTTTTCAAGATCATGGACTCAAATTGACTGTTTTGGGCATGTCCTCCAGCTTTGCATTGAAGATGCAATCAAAGAAACGGTACACGTAAGCCACTTAATGGCAAAGGTTGCAAGCAGAACACTTGAAGCTCGGCAACAAGGCCTTGGAGTTAATACAGGACGTCCCATCAAGATGGAACAGCCAGTTTTTTATAATGGAAAGGCTAATAACATATCGAAATGCGATAAACTGGGAGCTTGGGACTTCTGACACCAAGGTAAAGACTCTTAACGGAACTGAATGGGTATTGGCTGAAAATGTGTTGAAGGTTTTTGAGCCCCTTGTGGAGGCCACACAGTTTGCCAGTATGGACATCCCCACTATTTAGGGGGTTTTACCTATGCTGTATGGAGTTAAAATAGTGTATGGCCGAATTGAGGAGAAATGTAGCCTCATCCAGTTTGGCCAATGCATAGGCATAAAAACATATGTAAACACGATTTGGGCCAATGGAATCAAATTTGATTTATTTGATATCAATGCTTATTGACCCAAAATACAAGCTACAAGGGCTAAAAGAAAATCTCCAAACGTCATCGCAGCTCCAATTGAAGAAAGAAATGCAAAATTTATCTACACCTAGACAGAAAAAAATAGGTCAGTAGAGAACCCTACAGAAGTAGCAAGTTGCACGTCATCAAGGATCTTTCAATTTCTTGACGAAGAACCTCTAAGTGGACCGAGCAAGGAGGATGGATGTCGAAATGGAGCTTAACATGATTCTGAGAGCACCAAGAATAAAACACAACGAAGACTCTCTAACTTGGTGGAGGAATAATTGCAATAATTACCCAAGGATTGCAAAAGTTGCCCTTAAATATCTTTGCATTCCTGAAACTCCCGTTCCAAGTGAGAGGCTGTTTTATTCTGCAGGAAATGGGATTAGCTCTCGAAGAAAATTGCTCCCAAAACATGCAGAGCAACTTGTAGTACTCCACGACAACATAAAACATGCGTAAATGAAGTTTTTTACCAGGCCTAATGTTAAAATGACTTATTTTTACTATTTATTATTATTTTTATCTCATAATTTTGCCAAATGAGAAAGGTCTAAGAGAGTAGGGCCTATTAATTATTTTAATGTAGTTCCTGATGGCCAATTCGTAATGTTTGATCTCAATATTGATGTTGTTGTATTTAAAATAAATAGTGTTCTTTAATATTTTGTTATAGGTTGGTTATCTAATAATAATTTTATAATTTTGATTTGAGTGAGTTTTGGTTTTTTGAGTGAGTTCAAAAATTCTTTGAATCGAATCGTTGCTTCAAATCGAAAATTTGTCGCTGCTTTGAACACCCCTTATAAAATCTTTTTTTATTATCATGATGGAAAATGTCCACAATAATAGGTGTAAACTCACATCACTAAAATAAACTACAAACAAAGTAGCGATGCAATGTAAATGTCACCTGTTACAGCCCAGTTTCCACCTCGGTGCAGAGGCCGGGTCTAGCACTAACACTCCAGTCTCGCACTCCACACAGGCCGACAGTCCATTACTGTTGAGAGAGTGAGGACAGGTGGGGTGGGTGCAAGAGTTACACCCTGACCCTTTCTTCATCTCCCTGAAGGGAGGATGGTTGTAGCAGTAAGGGCAGAGTGGAAATGATTTGCCCCTCACCCCAGTAGACCACGAGAGTAGCTCAAAGTCATCCAGAGGACATTTCAACTCCTATAAATATAAATTAATGAAAGATATTTGTATAAGCTATGCAGAGTAAAATTAGGTGGGATGGAATACAAGGTAAAAATTACATAAGAGGGGTGAGTTAAAGATAAATCAAAAGGGGATGTAGGAAAACTACTCACTAGACAAATATGTTTTTGACATGTTACAAGGGCATGAGAAAGGAGAATTTCTATGAAAATGAAGTTGATAGAGATGGAGAAAAGCAGACCTAAAGGAAGTTTAGGAGAATGACGAGAAGAGGATGTGATGGCACAAGGAGAATGTGGAACTGTGGTAGGATAAGAGACGATGGAGGGGTATTGTTGATGCTTAGACTTGGGAATAACTGTTACAAAAGAGGATATGTTTGCTACATGATGAAATAGTTTTTGAGTCACAATGTAAGAAATGTTTTGCAGTAGCTGTCATCTCCTATTGTTATAGTTTAACTTAGACATAAGTAGTTTAAAAACAAATATAAAAATCATTGTAAAAAATGCAAGTAAAAGAGTGGAAATAAAATAGCATAAAGCTGATTTTGAAATAAAGAGAGTCTGAGACTATGTCATAATCATAATATTGTAAATCAACATTTGCTTTACTTGATGTACCCTCAGATTTAAAATATGGTTTGTGTTGATAAATGTGATCAGATCATAGATGTTTTATCCTCCCGAGATTGCAGTGTCTTATTCTTGTATAACCTCTTAATGGTAGGAATTATTTTCTTGGAACTGACCTTATAGGGGCGAACATTCCCGTTTTGTGGTAGGTTGTAAGTCTCATCACAATGTGAGCAGTGCAGCCGAGCAGGCTTGGCCTGTATGTACTTCATGTACCTCCGACACTTGCCACACCTACCATACAGAAAACATCATACAGAAAACATATATTGTTCTCTCCTCCAGCGTAATTCTGATCTTAATTGTATGATTTGTGAGTGCTTGGATCAATGAATAGTATTTTCTGTTAACTGAACGTCTTAATCTGACAATACTAACCTTTAGGCTAATATGGATGGTATTTAAGGTGCATTAGTATACTTAATTCAATAAAATATTAGTTTACAGAATATGTAGTCTAAAACATTGTCAATTCACTATCTATATTTGGGATATGACATAACCATAATGAAATAATATATGAAATATATACAATCACTCTCCTCAAAACAATTCATTCTAATATTACTTCATCTTTGTGCAAACAAAATTAGGGGTCTGCATAACAGACATTTCACTCAAGAGAGGTTACAAATTTCGGCCTTTGGGTCTTGGGCCAAAATCGAGTTGCTATATAAGGTATTGGGTTAAAAATATATTAAGTGGTATAAATACTACAGCAAGTTAAATAACATTGCACATGATCTCCCCCCTCATATCACAGTGAGCTGTCTGCGGTCACTTAAAACTTCTGGGGACTTCTGACATTACGGTAAATTTGAGCAAATCTTCTGTGGTAACGACAACATTTTACACCTCTTCCTCAGCAGCTAAAAAATTTGAAACATCTTCGTCTTCTACAGACAGTGTGAAATCTGGATATCTTCTGGAGTTACGACACAATTGATAAAATCTTCCCTGATCACGGTGATATCACCATCGTCTCCTATGATCGCAGCAAATCCATGAACATCAACCTTAATTTTTTTTCAGATGCTTTCTACAATCGTGAAAATAAATGCTTGGCTCGCTTAAGCTGACCCAAGCTTGATCCAAAAAGTATTCCCAGCCCGAACTGACTCTCCGGGCCATCTGTTGGCCTGACCCGACCCAAAAATATTGAGGACCTGCAGACCTCCAATCAAAATCAGAAAGAAAATAAAAGGTTAGTTTAATTGGGACAAACCTTGAATGAGCTTTGCCTGAGGTCGCCAGGGGTGAGAATGACACCTCAAACAACTGGTCCATCCCGTCAATGTTTTTTACAAAATAAAGGAACTTGAGTTTAAATATCTCTACGGTGTGACGCAGAACTGCATCAAAGTCTACTTGTCCCTGAGCGATCAGATTGAGTTGTTCCTCCACAGCAGACCTCATGGTGGGCAGAACTAGCTCTGGGTCAATCTGTACCATAACAATATAAGTTACCTCAGGTGGTAAAAACATAGTAAAACTACCCTAAATCAAGCGACTCTCAGTTTAAGACTGTATTTTAGAACAACTCTTGTCAAGACAACAAGTCTTGAAAACTGACACAAGTTACTAAACAATGATGCTCTTAGAATTAATAAGAGAATTCAATTCAATGTTACATTTAAATTAATTCACAGAAACCTCTAGAAACTCCTTTGTACAATCCTGGACCGAAACAAATTTCAAATATGGAATGAACCCTTCTCTTCTAAAAAAGAAGGTTGTGTTCTCTTCAACCGTATGATAGACATTTAGATAGAGGGTTTGAATCCTCTCTAAGTCAGTTCAGGTGTAAACTAATAAGGGCTTATCCTGTCAGTAGCAGAGCTTACTGGGGGAGGCCAACCTAAAACAGTGAACAGACTGGGTGGAAGTTTAATAAATTGCCTGATTCAGCCAGAACTGTATCCTTCAAGATATTCAAATCTAAATTATGTGAATGGTTGATAAGCAATCCTTTCTATGGCATCCATGAATTTCTTGAAACAAAAGTTGATATTGAATTTTGATGTCTATCTACATGATCCATATTCTCTAGACATTTCATGTGTTAATTAACTAAGTATTTTTTAAACTTTGTATTTAATTTGTTAATTTGAAATGTTTTGTATGTGTTTTGACTATGTCTATTCCTTTGTACAAAGAAAGGTCAATGACAATAAAACTCTTGATTCTTGACGGGACAGAAGTACTCTTTGTGAGTTGTACTTCTTTCAAGACAATTTTGGTTGGCGTGTTGTAATAACTACAGATGAAAGAAAGTACCTTCTGGTAGCCGTGTACCAACACAATGCCCAGCGTGGTAGGTACAAGTCGTCTGCCAGAGCCCACCGTCACATAGTTGCGTTGGCAGATGTTGTTGATGTGTACAGGGATGGAAGCGTCTGTGCCGATACCATGCTTCTCCATTAGAGTGATCAACTCTGCTTCAGTCAGTAGGTCTGGGGGACTGGTCTGGCACTCCACTAGCTTCACCTAATGTGCAATACTCGTATGTGAATATAGGATTGGATAGGTCCGATTGATTTCAGAGGTAGAATGTGTGACCCCACTTACTTAAATCTCCAGAGTGGTACCGAATATACTTAGCCATTAATTACCATCAATGAGGTAAATTCAAGACAGGAAATATCACTCTCTTGTTGCTTGTTCTTTAATCCCCAAGGAAAAACAGGTTTTGTTTGTAGTGTAGATAAGATACATATTAAATTTTAATATTCATAACAAGTTAGATTCCTCATGTAGATCTACATCTCAAGGTAAAAAAAAAAAAATACATTCATTGACAAAAGTCCAGACAAGAAATCTTTTTACCTTAGTTTTACTTTATTCCCATGAACGTCATATTAGTTTTAGTTTAACTTTTCTGGTGTAAGCACTCATTTTTGAGCCCCATGAAACTGCAAGATGTTTACCCCATGACCGCCTGTCTCTGTGGATGTATGTAGCAATGTTACATGTTAATTGTAGCCTATTCATTACATTCATTAATTTTAATTGTATAATTTTCCTTCTTTGATTGTACAAAAATTTGCCATTTAGCCTATAGTAATAAATCCTCAGAAAATGTATTGTAAATATAAATTATATTATCCTTTTAATTACCCCTCAGAAATCATCACATCATTTTTGAAATATGAATGTATACGAAAAAAAATATTAATGTTTACAAAAAGCCTGAAACTTTTTAGTTTTGCTGGTGTGAAGTAATAAATAAAACAACGCTGTGTAAAATTACAATTTACTAAAACAAAAAAAAAAAGTTAAATAAAAATTCACGTTTTTCCTTGAGTTTTAATAAACTGTAAGGTAATTGTTGTTTTACAAAGTGATGTTTAATTTATTACTTCACACCAGCAAAACTAACATTGCACAGATTTCACACATTATTTATTTTTTATGACACCTCCATTAGAAGAGTCAAATAGTTTGAACAACTTATAATTCCAAAAAGTGCTATAAATGAAGGAACCATTCAACGCAAAAATCATCCCTCTAACTTATGAATTAGCTGAGCTGCCACAAAACAAAAAATGTTAGCGGTTATTATGGACCACCCATTATTTATATTATTAGTTACTCTTACAAACAAACTTTTTAGGAAGTTTGTGGTATTAAGTACACATTATTTAATTTTGACTGAAATTTGATAATCAAATGGTGACTCACTTTGGAGTAAAAATGTTTACCGAAAACATTTCTTGATATACCTCAACATTCATGAGAATCATGCTCTATAAACCCGTTCAGAGTAATTTATAATAATCTGGGTTATTAAATAGCCCTTTTGCTAATAATACTGATTGTAAATATGTACTTACATCCTGTATGTTGGCCTCCTCTCCTGTTGTAAAAGTAGGCACAGTTTCTACTTTAGAGAAAGCCTGCCAATGCATCACAGCGGTGTAGCCCGGGTCTATCAACGTCTTTCCTGTGGTGCTGAACTTCTCAGTTCCAATAGAGAAAGTTATCGTGGTACTAAGGTACCGGCAGTCCTGCGACATCTACAGGAACAGGAGATAAAAATAGCAAGTGGAAACATTACAGGTAAACTAGTTATGAAATGTGTTGACAATAAAAGTAACGGTGAAAAGATAATTACCGAATCTGTGAGAGAGGGTTCCTGGGATCCTATAGTACACTAATATGCTGCCAAGTCTAGGGAACGTTATCTTGAAAATATTAGTTGGAACCTTTACTTGCATAAGTGGTTATAGAGCTCTAGTCTCCAAAAGAAGATTGACTCTGAGCCTGGATGCATTTGACATTGGGCTATCAATCAGTTTAAATGCTTTTTAACACAAGTGCAACGTTAGATATGACCACACTAGGATTTGTACTAACTGTTCCCAAACAACAAAAAAGGCAAATGGATTTAAATTAAACATAAAAGTAAATTTAAAAGTAGTTTCTTTTAGTCATCAATATGAATATAAGTAACTACTTCACTGTATTGGTTAAACATATATTTGATAACCATCCTATTCTTCAGAGGTTAAAAATGAAGGTCATCATACATGTGTCATTTTGATAATTTAGCCTAAATAATTCATCCAAAACAAACGGAAAGAATAAGCTGTTGTTCTTAGCATTAGTCAAATAATTTGAATGTTCACATAACTTTGCATCACCTATATTTAAATGATTCTCATATTACTCTAGGAACAAAACAATTATTATATAAATTAGGTATTGTGTAAAAAACTGCATAATTTATTATATAAAAAAAAAACTCTAATGGTGCACTAAAAGAAAGATCGTTAAACTAACAGTGGCAATGAAGTGTCGGGTAATGTAGTCATAGAGTTTCCAAGCGTCACCATCAAGTTCAGACCGAGAGGCTGCTTTCATGGGTGTGATAGGGGGATGGTCACCTACGTCCTTGCCCCGCCGAGGCTTATTGAGCCCCGTTGCAAGCACCGCCCGCACCTCAGTGCCCCACTCTGATGACGACTTCTGCTGGTGCAACACACTCCTGGATATAGCAAGAACAGAATGGTATTAATTATCTACAATACATTACTATCTCTCCACGTTGAGAAAGGGTGCAGTGGCCTCAAAATATCCAGTGTTTGTTTTATTTTGTGTTTTCTTCTGTGTTATGTAGTGAATGAAGTGGGATGCTACATTTCTTAAGGTAAGCCTGCTTATCCTATCCTTTCTCTCCCCTATTTTCAGGCAATAAGCCCTTTCTCTTCAAACCACACATAACTAATATTAGTAATACTAATCATTGCCAGAGTTTTGTTAATAATACCCCAGCCACAGCAAACCTACAAACTAAGCAATCTTACAGTTGTGTTATTAGATTTTTACAAAAATATTTCCTTAAAAAAATATGAAATTTATTCCCATTTAAATAACAATAATTAAAAAAAAAATACTTAGGTTTTCTACTAGAGGGTAGGAAAAGTCTTTTTTATAATGTTTTTGTATAATGTTAATGTATAGGATGAGATAAATAAAATTTGAACAATTATATCAAAGTACGGTACTAAAACATCAATAATTAAGAAACAAACTAGTTAGGGTATGGACTTTTGAAACTAAAGTTCCGTAATACTTACTGCAGAATCCTACATCCTCACTGCAGAATCCTACATCCTCATTGCCAAATGCCCAATTGATTAAGCAAATCTTATTTCCATTTTTAGGTAATATCAATGGTAAAAGATCAGTATATACTCACATAAGGTCAAAACTGTCTGGGTAGTGTGTAGTCTCTGTACGAGGGTAGCTGATGTAGCCCTGGGTGTACAGTCTCTCTGCTATCTGCATGGCATGGTGAGGACCCATCCCCAGACCACTAGAGGCCACTCTCATCAGCTCTACAGTGTTGAGAGCCAACGGCCTCTGTTTGGCCTTCTCCTTGGTCACCACACTCAACACCCTGTAAACATCAGACTGTATGTTAGTGTACAGTCTCTCTGCTATCTGCATGGCATGGTGAGGACCCATCCCCAGACCACTAGAGGCCACTCTCATCAGCTCTACAGTGTTGAGAGCCAACGGCCTCTGTTTGGCCTTCTCCTTTGTCACCACACTCAACACCCTGTAAACATCAGACTGTATGTTAGTGTACAGTCTCTCTGCTATCTGCATGGCATGGTGAGGACCCATCCCCAGACCACTAGAGGCCACTCTCATCAGCTCTACAGTGTTGAGCGCCAACGGCCTCTGTTTGGCCTTCTCCTTTGTCACCACACTCAACACCCTGTAAACATCAGACTGTATGTTAGTGTACAGTCTCTCTGCTATCTGCATGGCATGGTGAGGACCCATCCCCAGACCACTAGAGGCCACTCTCATCAGCTCTACAGTGTTGAGAGCCAACGGCCTCTGTTTGGCCTTCTCCTTTGTCACCACACTCAACACCCTGTAAACATCAGACTGTATGTTAGTGTACAGTCTCTCTGCTATCTGCATGGCATGGTGAGGACCCATCCCCAGACCACTAGAGGCCACTCTCATCAGCTCTACAGTGTTGAGAGCCAACGGCCTCTGTTTGGCCTTCTCCTTTGTCACCACACTCAACACCCTGTAAACATCAGACTGTATGTTAGTGTACAGTCTCTCTGCTATCTGCATGGCATGGTGAGGACCCATCCCCAGACCACTAGAGGCCACTCTCATCAGCTCTACAGTGTTGAGAGCCAACGGCCTCTGTTTGGCCTTCTCCTTGGTCACCACACTCAACACCCTGTAAACATCAGACTGTATGTTAGTGTACAGTCTCTCTGCTATCTGCATGGCATGGTGAGGACCCATCCCCAGACCACTAGAGGCCACTCTCATCAGCTCTACAGTGTTGAGAGCCAACGGCCTCTGTTTGGCCTTCTCCTTTGTCACCACACTCAACACCCTGTAAACATCAGACTGTATGTTAGTGTACAGTCTCTCTGCTATCTGCATGGCATGGTGAGGACCCATCCCCAGACCACTAGAGGCCACTCTCATCAGCTCTACAGTGTTGAGAGCCAACGGCCTCTGTTTGGCCTTCTCCTTGGTCACCACACTCAACACGCTGTAAACATCAGACTGTATGTTAGTGTACAGTCTCTCTGCTATCTACATGGCATGGTGAGGACCCATCCCCAGACCACTAGAGGCCACTCTCATCAGCTCTACAGTGTTGAGAGCCAACGGCCTCTGTTTGGCCTTCTCCTTGGTCACCACACTCAACACCCTGTAAACATCAGACTGTATGTTAGTGTACAATCTCTCTGCTATCTGACAGTTTATAATCATCAGACGGTGATAATGTACTTGAAACATAGCAAGATTAGAACGCAAACAAACCCAGGAAAAGCTAAGTAATTACAAAGTGAACGTTATAGTAGCCAAAACAGAAAACTTACAACCCGAGAATAAAAATATCTTAAAAGTTTTTACTACTATTCAAAATAATTTATAGTACAAATACTACAGGACAGCATAGACGTTTCTGTATAAGATTAAGATTGAGGCTTAAGCAAGACGGTTATGCTGTCTATGTTTGAACAATTCTTTTTAGCTAATATTTAGTTGGTTATAAGATCATTTTATTAAAAATATTTTAGATTTATTTTTATGAATTGTAACGAACTTACAAAGCTGATGTGTGCTCTTTGACATGATGTAAAAACATCATTGTCGTGTCTTTTTCAAAACATCGCACTCGATCCCAGTCCAGAGTAACTTCACGCCCATCTGCGGTTTGTACATTCACCTGCCAGAAAGATTGTTGGATCATTAAAACAATCATTGCATGCTATACTGGGGAAATAAGTGGGGGCTTTAACAAACTGAGAATCACTTCCTATGAAAAAGGAGAGCATAACCATGTAACAATAGCCATGTTTGAGACATTTTATAGGCCAACACTGGTGACTAGATAGAGAGAATTGTGCAGATTAAAGGCTGGAGAAATGAAGACTTTTAGACCCATAATGAATGAACAATGGGTGATTGATTTAGGAACCCAGATAAAAGAAAGGAGAGAAGCCTACAAGAAAGTTGAAAGATGACATAAAGAGGAATTACTGAACAGTGAGGTCTTGGATGGTGGCCTTCATTGACTTCAGGATTAGGACTAGGAGTAGTAACAAGAATAGGAAATGATCAATATATACATAATATAGAAAAACTACGAATTTAAGATAACATATCAAAATAACTGTTTTAAAACATAAAATAACCACTCTATTTGTACATTTGAATACAACTTGATAAAAGCAATTTGTTATTAATGACAAAAACCTTTAAATAATTTATTAAAGATTTAAAAGCCAGACATTAGCAAAAGTAGACTGACTGAATAACTGCTTTATTCTAATAATGGAGAGCAGCCACACTATGTTTACAACCTTTCATTACATATTACTAAGGTTATTTAACACTAACTAATAACAGTACCTACATGTATTATCCATGGCACTATCTACAGGGTGAATGTTACCTGAATATACCAGTAGGTTTCTGGCTTGAACGTCTGTATTTCATCATGCCGTTGAACACAGAAGCCAAGGGTAGGTGTTTGGCATGGTCCGTAGGATATTAACGATGCATCCAAATCCCCATATTTACCCTGAAAATCAGAAATTGTCAGAAAGGACTTAGATTACGGAAGGAAAGTTGTCAACTACCTTTATATGAGTGAGTGAATTTTGAGCTTCCTTGTTCTAAGGTATGCGTGTTCTCTACATGTCTAACATAATTTTCCAGCTCATTTTTCCAGACTCTATAGCTTTCTCCCTGTGTACTGTAATCTTCTTCCCTGTATAATCATTGATGAGTGATTTTTATTTAATTAGTTACTTTCTTCCCCTATACATAGTATTTAGAGAAAGTAGGCCTATTGTTTTTGTCAACATTTTCGCTTGAGTTTTAGGTAGAAATATGAGTCTGCCTCCGTACCGCGACCGGTAATAGTAGGCCTACTCTATTTGTTAAACGTTTTCGTGCGTGTTTGTGTATTTATTTAAATGTTTCTTGACGACTCCATCATGGATGAAGACAAAGCATTCTTGTTAGGATACCACCTGACGATGCCTGAATAGGCGAAACATGTTGTGAGTTTACTCACTACAAAATTGAACTGTTGACGTAAAGGTATGTACCTGATCATATTAGTAGAAATATTCTTTTTGGGAGCCCATGAACCAAAAAAGTGGTTTTCAAAATCATGTAAGTCTGTGTGTGTGAATATGTACAACAGAGTTACGGACTATAACTGTGGTCCGATTTTGATGAAATTTGGTACAGTCGACTTCCTCTTATCCGGACACCTTTTAACCGGACTACACTCAGTAGAAGTGACATGTCTTTATCCAGACAATTTTTATCAGCACATCGGTTTAACCGAACTAGATCGGCAGGAAGTGGGCAGTACTGAAAAGACTGTTCTCGTGGGAAAGATTTGAGACAGTGCTCACGTGTCTAAATACAATGCTTTCCTAAATTTAAGTAAAATGCTGTTTACAGTATGCATTCAAACGGTCCGTTTTAAAGAATTTTTGGGGACGTCGGTTTAACCGGAAAAGCCGTTATCCGGACTGGCCTCGGTCCCGAGGAGTCCGGACAAGAGGGAGTCTACTGTATGAGGATTGAATACTAACATATGGTAGGCTATATCCAGAAGATGTCTTTTTAAATTTAGATTTTTAGGCCTAATGCTCTGGAATAACAGCAATAATAACAGCTAGGAATAACAGAACAATCTTATTTTTACAAAAACAGCTCCAACAATTTTGATAAAAATTTAGTATGTTATAGTCCTAATAACAATGAATAATGGAAAAGACTTAACGCTATAAATTTTACAGTCCTCAAGTTATTGCAGTTAATGTGATTTTTTCCATGAAAGTTCATTGGTACCCATTCTGTTTGAAACCCATGACAATTGAATTATAAGCTAACAAGAGAAAGTATGTGTTCACCTAACATTTAAATAAACAGCCCTTAAGCTATTAATATAAATGTATTTACTTTAAAACATGAATTATTAAAAACACACTTAAAACTTGAGCAATTAACAAATGAAGGTAGCCTACCTGGAAGAACTTGGTCTGGTAGCGTGTGAAGGCACAGCCTATCCTCAGATCCAACTCTTGTCGAGCGTCCACACTGCGAGCCTCATTCTCGTTAGGTTTACCAAGGTTGGCCATTGCTGCCTTGATGTCTTTTTCCGTGATGGCAGAGAAATGTGCTCGATAAACCACCTTAACACAACAGATAATGATAGGTTTTAAATAAAAACCATAAAAACAATAATAATCTTTGAATGTACAAAAGCAGTTAAATTGAGAATAAAGATTTCCTTTATCCAACTGTTACTAATATAATTTTGTTTAAATAAAATTCAAAGAACTTACTCTATGTTTATATTTGATGTTGCGCTTGGCAAGACTGCTCTCCTTCTTATACTAGCCTCTGTCAAACCATGATGGACAATTTTCTTTATAAAATACTCCTTCATTTGAGTTAAGCCTATGTTTGTACCTTACTTACTTACTGCCGTGGCTCTTGGTACCCAAGGAGGTACTTTGCCTCGCCAACACACTGCCTCCAGACTGCACGATCCACTGCTTCATCCTCCCTTCTTCCCATTCTTCTCAGGTCTCTTCTCACTTGATCTCTCCACCTCAACTTGGGCCTTCCAGGAGGTCTTCTACCCTCGGGATTGTTGTTTAGGGTGTTTCTCACTAAGGATCCCTCTTCCTTTCTTAACACATGGCCTGCCCATCTCAATCTCCTACTTCTCACCTCAGCCACAATATCTGGGTCCCTGTACAACTCTCTCAACTCCCTGTTGTGCTTAACTCTCCATTCTCCGTTTTCAAAGGTTGGTCCAAAGATTTTCCTTAAAATCTTGTTTTCGAACACTATAAGTCGTTTCTCAGTTCTCTTGCTTATCACCCAATTCTCTGAGCCATATAGTAATACTGGTCTTATTATAGTTTTGTATATACGAATTTTAGTTTTCTGTGAGAGTAGGCGAGAACTCAACAATTTGTGGCATGCCGATAAACTATGTTTGTACCTACTGTTTTAAAACAAATAACGAGGAATATGTTGTTATTATAATTTTGTTTAACATTCAAACAAGTTACTCTATGTTTAAATTTTATGTTGCGCTTGGCAAGACTGCCTAGATCTCTCGTTCTTGTAATGGCCTCTGTCAAACCTTGATGGACAATTTTCTTTATAAAATGCTCCTTCATACTCTGCCATGTGTTTAGGACAAATTTTCCGTCTCTCAATAATTGAGCGAAGCTCTTTGAGATTGGGACCTATGCAAACTATGTAATCAGATAACTCAATAACGACTGAACATATTAAAGCAAAACTTTCCAGTCAACCTTGATATGTTGTTACTAGAGGCTGAAGATGAGTTTTGATGTAAACTTGAAATATACCTCGACATTTTTTAGTAAATTGTGATTAATTTATTTTAGTGATGAGTAACCGACAACCTAAGAATAACAGTCTAGAGTAAGCTAGCAAATTACAAAATACAGTACAAAAGAGAACAGTCTGATTAATAGGCCTACCATTGATCATTGATAATTACTCTTAGGTTGTATTACTGAGCAATCTTACTATAATATTATAAATCTGAAAGTTTGTGAGTTTGTGTGTGTGTTTGTGTGTGTGTTGCTCAATCACGCATACCTAAACTTCTGGACGGATTGGGCTGAAATTTGGCATGATGATAGCTCACATTCCCGATTAACATTAAAGCATATTCTTATCTCAAAAATCCTTTCGGGCTCCGCCCCAATGGCTCTGTAGTTCCCCGTGTTAACCTTATGAGTATTCATATTTAAATGGAATTAAAGAATTTAGTCAGCTGTTTCAACTTTAACTATACAGCCCGTCTAAATACTATACAGCCGCATGTGTAACTCACTGGGGGATACAAATTCTAGACCACTTCTAGATGAGCTAGAGACTTGAAATTTTCGGTGTTTTGTAGGTCTAGTGACCAAACCCCCGGGAAAATTCCAAAAAGTGACGTTTTTAAATTTGAACCCCCCCGAAATTAAGGGTTTCCCCCCCATGTTATTCTTATGGGGAATAACATTAAAAATGGCCGACTTTCGTGTGCCCATCTGAACGGTTTAGAAACGTGCTAGAGACTTCAAATTTGCGTAGTATTGTAGTATTGGATCTTACATTACCGGTGAAATTCCCAAAAGTCCCATTTTCAAATTTTAACCCCCCCCCAAAATCCAAAATGGCGGACCTCTGAAAACGAAAAAAAACTTTTTTTTCAACCGGATGTAGCTCGAAAACGGTAAGAGCTAGAAAAGATTTGAAAGGATCTTAGCGAAAGGAAATTAAATTTTCTACAAAACCCTCTTAGGCGTTTTCCGGAAATCGCACTCCTTAACCTTCAAAAAACCCCCTACTTTCAAAATTTAGTAAATTTCTTTGAAATTTTTTACGGTTTTCGCTATTTTTTCATACTTAAATAATTCTTTTTTGCAGATATTATTAGTGCTCTGTGTTCCCCTTAATTTACTTTAAATTTTACTCATTTAATGTTTTTTTGTTTCCTTACTCCTTAACCCCCAAAACTTAGGTTTAATGTCAAATTTTAAAGGTTTTTTACCACTTTTACAAGCCCCATGTTATTCTTATGGATAATAACATTGAAAATGGTAGACTTTGGTGTGCTCATCTGAACCGTTTAGAAACGTGCTAGAGACTTGAAACTTGGTATTATTGTAGTAGGGGATCTTATATTAATGATGAAATTTGCAAAAGTCCCATTTTCAAATTTTAACCCCGCCACAAATCCAAAATGGCGGACCTCTGAAAACGATAAAACAAGTTTTTTTCAAACGGATATAGCTCGAAAACAGTAAGAGCTAGAAAAGATTTGAAAGGATCTTAGCGAAAGGAAATTAAATTTTCTACTGAACCTTTAGAGCGTTTTCCAAAAATCGCACTCCTTAAGCTTCAAAAAACGCCCTAATTTCAAAATTTTGTAAATTTCTTTCAAATTTTTACCGGTTTTTGTTATTTTTTCATACTTAAACAATTCCTTTTTGCAAATATTATTATTGCTTTGTGTTCTCCTTACTTTACTTTAAATTTTACACATTACATGTTATTTCGTAACTTTACTCCTTGACCCAAAATACTTAAGTTTTTACCACTTTTACAAGCCCCATATTATTCTTATGCAGAATAAGATTGAAATTTGATGACTTTGGTATGGTCAAATGAATCGTTTAGAAATGTGATAGAGACTTGAAATTTGTTAGTATTCTAGTAATGGATCCTAAGTTAATGGTGAAATTTGCAAAAGTCCAATTTTTAAATTTTAACACACCCAAAAATCCAAAATGGCGGACCTCTGAAAACGACAAAACACATTTTTTTCAATCGGCTATAGTTCGAAAACTGTAAGAGCTAGAAAAGATTTGAAAGATTTTTCATGAACAGGAATTAAATTTTCTACAAAACCCATTTAAACGTTACCCGAAAATCGCACTCCTTCAGCTTCAAAAAACGCCCTACTTTCAAAATTTGGTAAATTTCTATAAAATCTTTACCGGTTTTCGCAATTTTTTTTTACTTGAATAATTTATTTTTGCAAATATTATTATTGCTTTTCCCTTACTTTGCTTTAAACTTTACTCATTACATTTTTTTTCGTAACTTTACTCCTTGACCCCCAAAACTACGAGCCCAATGTTATTATTATGGAGAATAACATTGAAATTTAATGACTTTGTTATGGTCATCAGAATCGTTTAGAATCGTGCAAGAGACTTAATTTGGCAGTATTGTAGTAGGCCTATGGGATACTAAGTTAAGGGTGAAATTTGCAAAAGTCACATTTTAAAATTTTTAACTCCCCAAAAATCCAAAATGGCGGATATCTAAAGACGATATAACACGTTTTTTACGGCTATAACTAAAAAGCAATAGGAGCTAGCCAAGATTTGAATGGATTTTCATGTTCAGAAATTTAATTTTCTACAAAACCCTTACACGTGTTTTCCGAAAATTTCTCCCCTTCACCCCTAAAAAACGTCCTACTTTCAGAAATTGGTATTTTTCAAATTTTTACCGGTTTTCGCTATTTTTACATACTTAAATAATCACTTTTTGCAAATGTTATTAATGCTTTGTATTTTCCTTGGCTTAATTTCGGTTTTAATCATACATGTTTTTTCGTAACTTTACTCTTTGACCCCCAAAACTTAAGTTTAATATCAAAATTTAAAAGGTTTTACCAGTTTCACGAGGTAATAATAGACTCTTTACCTTTTCTGTATGCACAAGGTTATTAAAACTATACAAAGTTTACTGTATTAGAGCTTACACCAAGGTATGAATATAATAAGGACCATTTAAAAAGTCCCCCCCCCCCTCTCGAAATCCCCCTTATATCTATCCTATAACCACCACAGATTCATCGGTCTAAATCACGTTTACCAATTTCTAGATTAGCTAAAAATCCTGAAATTTGCACCGTGTCCCCTAGTGGCACATTTGTACTTACAAAATTTTACCCCCAATTTTCGCTACTTTTCCCAATCTAAGTAAATTCTTTTTGCAAACATTATTAATATTTTGTATATACTCTGGTTTACTTAAAGCTCGAAAACGGTAAGAGATAAAAAGATTTGAAAGGATTTTCATGAACGGGAATCAAATTTTCTACAAACCCTTATTAAGTGTTTTCCGAAAATCGCACTCCTTAACCTTCAAAAAACGCCCTACTTTCAAAATTTGGTAAATTTCTTTAAATTTTTACCGGTTTTCGCCATTTTTCATACTTAAATAATTTGTTTTTGCAAAAATTAATATTGCTTTGTATTCTCCTTACTTAACTTTAAATTTTACACATTACGTGTTTTTTTCGTAACTTTACTCCTTGACCCCCAAAACTTAGGTTTAATAGAAATTAAGATAAAAATTAAGATAGAAATTTTGCTCAGTTGTAGGTCTTGCGCCATGGCCCATTTGTATTTACCCCCAATCAAAAAAGGGGGCCTGGGGGCGTCGTATTTTCACCCCCCAATTTTAAATCCTCCCCTCCCTAATGTTATTCTTACAGGTGCATAAGTCTAAATCACGTTTACCCATTTCTAGATTAACTGGATATCTGAAAATTGACATGATTGTTGATCTTGCGTTGAAATTTGATGACTTTGTTATGGCCATCTGAATCGTTTACAAACGTGCTAGAGACTTGTAATTTGGTAGTATTGTAGTATGGGATCCTAAGTTAAGGGTAATATTCATAACCCCCCCCCCCCCCGAAATATTAAATCCTCCCCCCCAATATTATTCTTACAGGTGTATAAGTCTAAATCACGTTTACCCATTTCTAGATTAACTGGATGTCTGAAATTTGCCACGATTGTAGGTCTTACGCCATGGCCTATTTGTACTTACCCCCAACCAAAAAAGGGGGCCTGGGGGCGGAGCCCCCAGCGAGCCAAAGGCGAGTTGGTTCTATAATATGCAATAGCATTAAAAAGTAATGAGGTTTCCCAACAGGGTGCAGCACTATTATTATTTTGTTTTTGCATCCATGACAACAGCTAATTTGAACTAAACAGCAACGAAAAACTGTGATACACAATGAGAACTGTCAAAGTAGGATTGTTTACAGTTATTTTTGAGTTTTAATTTAATGAATAATCTATGATATTGTGCGAATGTTTGATAATTTATTTTTTTCTATTGTTTAGGTGCAGTGGTAGAACATTATGGCAATGGTAGATGTGTTATACTATATCATGTATGTTATACGCAACATCCTAGGTTTGACCCCACATTCCTAACAGTTAATTTTGTTCTTATTCAATAAAAAATGGTTAGGGCCTAGTTAAACTTACCCCGTCAGAATACGGAGATCTCCTCATGGAGCCTTCCACACAAGAGATGACCTCAAAGCAGATATTCTCACCCTCCTTGTCACAATCGAGCCACAAAATGAGATAGTCACAGCCACGAGCCTCCTGAGCCAGGAACAGAGGCATCTTCAACTTGGCTGCTGCCTCCTTCTTTTCTGTCGGACAGGAGAACAGCTCCACCTGTCAAAGTGAATGTTTCAAAATAAACTTATAATTTATACTTTCCTCGTCAAAAGTTCTATTCTAGCTTAGTTGCAAGTACAGTATGCAGTTGTTCAATTATTTTATTTCGTGCAGAGATCGAAGTTACGGACATTTTGCATGCAAATTGTTGTTTGACTGAAAAAGATCAAGATGGGGACATCTCAAAGACTATCAAGGACAACAATAAACACAGCGATTGAAACGTGGCAAGAACATTGTTTTTGCCTTATATTTCTTTTGGCCACTACAACAAAACTAATGTTTATTACATGTACTGTATAAGAATAGTAGTCAGGCGGGGAAATTAAGTAAGAATGCGGTGCTAGTGTCCTGGATACACCAGGACAAAAATTAAGTATCTCTGGTGTGCTGGAGATTTAATTAAGCTTAGCTTGCTTTGGTGTGACTGAAGTTTACAAACTTCAATTATTAATTTCTAGATAAACCTTTTAAAATAAGGCAGACATACATCACAGCAATACATGGGTTTCAACAAAACGTATTAGTTACAAACAGGGTTTCAAAGGCTGTGGTAGCATCTTTAGCAGTTAGCTAGGCCTATACACAACCACAGAAAACATACTAGGCCTACTATCACCCAGGAATGCCAACCGCATGGTAAAAAGCGTTAAGTGCTTTGAGAGAGCTTTGCCTGTCAGTTCGTAGGCAGCGCCACCAGCGTTGCAATGCACTCAGCATAGCAACGCTGGTGGCACTGCCTACGAATTGACAGACAAAGCTCTCTCAAAAGTACTTAACGCTTTTTACCATGCGGTTGGCATTCTGGGTTATAGTAGTATGTTTTCTGTGACACAACTTAAAAATGCTACATTGTTTTGCAGGCTATAAATAAAATAAAGATGAAATTTTCAAACATGTTAATATTACCCTAATGGAAAACTTTGTTTAAAAGCTTTTTTAAAGAATAATATTTTTGCTACAGTTGTCTAAGAGTTCCAAGCCTATACCCTGATTACAAAGTTACTGTGATTTGAGTTACTGTGGTTTGTTACATTTTCTACTTACAGGATCAACTCTGTCCCAGTTGTTGTATTTTGATATAAAATCCAAACTCATGACGTGTCCACATACTGAAGTCATGCGGAAGTTAACCAGTTCATTTTTAAACTGGCCTTGCCATTCATGTACTGAGCAAGCTCCATTACTTCCTGAAATCAGTAAAAAATAAGAATTTATAAATACCGTACAGTATAGGCCTACTATTGGTGTAGATTTTTTCTATATCTGGTAGGTATTTTTCTTTACCCATTCCCCACCCAAATAACATGATGCTTTTTATCAATTGCATTTTGGCACATCTTTATATGATTCCACTATAGGACTTCAGTGCATTGAACCATTGTTACAGTGGCTGACACTCAAGGGTTGAAAAATTAAAATCTCAAAAGTTTAAAAAGGACAGTTTAGAAACCCTCAGATGGTGCTTTAAGCGTTTTTCAGGATCTAAACAGCAACCTTTAGATTAAGTAATGAGGCAAGCTCTAAGCCTATAAATTAAACACTCTGGCCACTAACTTACTACCTAACTGAAAAGGAGCAAGGTGTGAAAGAAATTAGGTTTAACGTTAAATGTTTCAGGTTTAGGTTTAATGTTTCAAAGCAAGAGTCAAACCAAATACAATGCTGAGTTATTTAAATCACATCATTGGATAAGTTGCGCCCAAAGGTTTTTACAAATGAATTACATAAGTAGGTATTTGGTAATTTAGACCAAAGAGCAGAGTAAGAACAAATGTTAAATGAGTAATTAAGGTATCATTAGGCTACCTAAATTTAAAATGTTAAGTGTATAACAGGCATTATGTGGCAAAACTTTGATAAGTTATACGACTCTCTTGTAGGTACAATAGCCTTGTTAAAATTGATGAAAAATTTTGGTTTTGGCTACCGGTACTGTGAGGTAAAGTTTGGTTATCAATTGAATCAGGCTGAATACGATGGTTGGAGATCAAAGTTTTGCCAACTAGGCCTACCTTTAGGCAACGTGATCTCATTTAAGTACCTACAAAACCTGGACCTTGAATTCATCAAACAGGCTATCAATGCCTATCTTGTCAACTCTATCACTACACCTAAGGCTATTATACCTGGCCTAAGAGAAGACTGATATACATCAAGGCATTTCTGCACTTTACTTGACGTCCTACACTCATTCGAATGAAAATATCGATCGATATATCGATTAATCGATTGCTTCATTCGATATATCGTTTGGTTAGTTAGGTAAGGTTAACCTAACCTAACTAACCAAACGATATATCGAATGAAACAATCGAATGAAAATATTGAATCGAAAAAACAATCGAATGAGTGTAGGACGTCAAGTAAAGTGCAGCCAGGCATTTTTCTGTACCAGTACTAAACTGACAGATTTATTTGACGGTAACAACTATTTACAATAATATGCTATAAAATGCGGTACTTCAGTATTAAACGGAGGCCACATTTTGTCAGCGCGCTGCGGCGGTTATGTTAGGTTGGGTTATCGTAAATATTATGTGTGTAGGACTTTCCTCGCTTCGTTATGAATCGAACGATACTTTCTATTATGATAACCCAACCTAACATAACAGCCGCAGCGCGCTGACAAAATGTGGCCTCGAGCCGTTTAATACTGAAGTACCTAAAATGCTAACAAAACGATACGTAGGCTATGAAAAATTTGATGGCTAACACTGGTGTGATGCGTTAAACATCATGACATATTTTTGACAATAGATAATATAATAAATGTATGTAAAGTGTTATAGTACATGCTTAAAACTACACAATAGATGAGTTGATGAGTGAAGACAGGTATGTCTTCCTACGTTTTGTTAAACCGCCTAGCCTATTTCAAGTTCAAGTAGGCTACGGAGGACATTTTGAGAGAGCATAACTAGTGTAATGAATGACTTAGGGCCTACCTTTCCTTGAAGTATTCTTTCCATTACTTAAAATATTGGAAAGAGACAGAGCCAAAGAAGGCTTCTCTGCTACCATCAAAGCCGTTTTCATAGTGTGGCTGTCTGAATATAGTTTCAAACTGAATGGCCAGTGCTATAGCAGAAGTTACAATATAATAAGATTATGATAATAAATACCCATGGTTAAACTACAAACTATTCATTTTTAAGTTAAATATTTGCAAACGTTAGATCACAGACATAGAGGCGGCAACGGGCAAACATAACCTATTAACCAATTTCTTATTTCTGTTTTTTTTTTCAGGCACTCACTATTTTTTTTCTTATTTGCTTGTAAGCAGGCTTATATTGTATGCAGCCTCGTTGTGCACTAATTTATTTGACGATTCTGTGGTTTTCATTTAGAGTTTGGTGAGTTTTTGTTAGTATTGACTTGGAATTGTTGAGGATATTGTTTTAGTTTGGTGGTCAATTTGATTTTGTTTTGTTTTTTTGTCAGATAATAGATGGGATTTAGTAGAATTCTAAGGCCATGAAAGGATAGTTGGGAGAGGGGTTGGGTTGGAGTCTTCTCGCTTGAGGGCTGTCAAGCATTTCTATCCCGAAAAGGAGGCCCATGGATGAAGAACCCAAGGATTGGAATGAATTATGTGAGTGTTTGTGTTTGGTTTTGTTTTTTGTTTAAATTGTTCTCTTTATGTGTATGAGGAAATCTATGATTTCTTGATATACTGTGGAGTCGTTAGTTCTGAGAATTTCTCGCAGATAGTTGGAGCTGTTACATTTCTGTATTATCTTCTGTGTTGATTTAAAACATCTATTCCTGGCTGATTCATGTGCTGGGCATTCAATAATCAGGTGTTCTTTCTACTGATTCATTGCGGCCCATTGTGCAGTTAAGACAGAGTGGCGTAAAATACTTTTTAATGAGGAATAGAGATTTATTCACATTTGCATGTCCCAAACGTAGTCGACACATCGTGATAATGTCCTTTCTTTTTAATCTTGAATTTCGGAACCATGTGCATTTGGGAACTGTATCTACAATTCCCTTATACCAGTTACCCTTTTCGGAAGTAATAAATAGCTTGTTATGTTGGCTGTGGTAGAGTGTATTTAGGTATCTCTTAAAATCGTCAATGGGTACTAACAAATTGTCTATTACTGTACCATGGGTAGTAGCTTCCTTTGCTAATTTATCAGCGGTTTCATTGCCCATGATGCCACAGTGGCCAGGAGACCAGTGTATAAGGATATTTTTTCCTGAATTGGACACCTCATACACTATATCCATTATGATGCCCTCTACATCACAGTTTTGATTAATTTTGTCTATGGCTGCTATGGCTGATTGTGAGTCTGAAAATATTACAAAGTTACTATCAAATTGAACTGCTTTCAGTATGGCGGTATGGCTATGAGTTCTGCGTAAAAGCTTGATATATATGTTGAGAGTTTGAATCTTTCTGCTATGTTGAGCTGAGGAATCCAGTCCAGAAGGCAGCGCCTGTGCCGCTGTTCTTTTTGGACTTTTGGTCTTTCTTTGGAGCCATCACGATCACAATAAACAAAAACATAACCTCTTTCATAAAACTCTTCCACCTTTGAGAGAAATTTTTGTTTAATGACTAATTCGTTGAAACTGCTTTTGGTATCATTTAAGTTTGGCATACATTTTATCGTGTCCAGCATACAAAATGGTTCATTTAGTTCGTAGTAGCTTTTGTGTCTATGTGCTTCTTCTAGCGAAGGGTTTACCTTGCAGATAGTGTCAAATGATTGCAAATATAGAGGTTTTGGTTTCTTTTGCCAAAAAGGCATTTCTCTACTTATAATTTCTAGTCTCATTAAATCTTGATAGGCTGCATGGTTTTTAGAGCTAATAACCTTGTATGTTAACCTATCCGTAAGAATCTTCTAATGTTAAGTGGTTTTGTAGCTGTCTCTGCCAGTAGGGCGTTTATTGGAGTGGTTTTAAAAGCACCAATAGCTATTCTTATAGCCTGATTTTGTATAACTTCCATTACATTGATTAACTGGGAGGCTGAGCCAAATAAAAAGCAGCCGTAGTCTAGTTTAGGTCTGATGAGTCCTTTGTAAACATCAAGAGCAAAGTCTGGGTGAGTGCCTTTACAACCACATACTATCGCTTTAATTACATTTAGGTCAGTTTGACACTGTCTTTGTACATTCTTGATATGAGTATTAAACTTCAGTTTGTCGTCTATTAAAATGCCCAGTAATTTGATAGATTCGACAAGTGGAATCTCTTGGTTTCTGATTTTTAGCTGGTGATCTAGTGTTTTTTTTCCTTTTTCTTGATATTATTAGTGATTGACTTTTGTTTGGATTGATTTCCATGTGTAAGGAAGCGAGGTAGTCGCTGAGAGAGTCTAGGGCCTTTTGGCTATGTTGCCTTGCTACTATCAGGTTTTTGTGATTGGTGTATACCAATATATCATCTGCGTATTGGAGTGATTGCACTGGGTAGGGTATGTAGCTGTTAATTTCCGAAATATATAGTGAGTACAGCAAGGGACTTAGAGAATCTCCTTGGGGCAAGCCTTTGTACGTATATCTGTAAAGACTGCTTTCAGGGTTTATTAGGACTAGCTGCCTGTAGGTGAGCCATCCATATGTAAGTATTTTATATTTTGTGCCGGGACTCCAAATCTGTGGAGTTTATCCATCAAGGTAGGTATATGTACTCTATCATAAGCACATGTCATATCTAAGGACGTGGCAATAATAGATTCATTATACGTCAGAGCAATATGTGCTTGTGATATGAATTTCAGCAGGTAGTCTGCACAGCCAAGTTTCTGTCTGAAACCAAACTGTGTATTTGGTATTATGTTTAGTTTATTAACTAGCCAGATTAGTCTATTTGATATCATTTTGTTAAGTATCTTGATAAAGCAAGGGATCAGCGATATAGGTCTGTATGATTCTACCTCTTGTTCATTTTTTTGGGGTTTAAGCAGAGCGATAATTTTCATTTGTTTCCATTCGACCGGTATCTCTATTGTGCCAAGCCAAATTTTGTTGTAGATGTTAAGTAGACATTCCAAAGAACTTTTTGGAAGATGTTTGATCATAAGGTAGCTTATGCCATCTAGTCCAGGTGCAGTGTTTTTTTGTTTTGATTTAATCACTACCTGTAGCTCTTTAAGGCTGAATTGTCTTTGCAAGGGGTCTTCAAAGTGGTTTAATGTTGGTGGAATAATCTCATCTTGGTTAGGTACATAATCAGGACAAATATGTTTCATAAAGTTCTCTGCTAGGTCAATGTTTGTAAGGATGGGGTTGGTGAATGGTCCTTTGTTAAAACTGTTGTATTTAAGTTTTCTTATTATTTTCCATGCGTGAGTGGTGGATTTTTTACATTTTATTTCGCTGCATAATTTTTCCCAACTAGATTTCTTTGCTAATTGTATTTCTTCTTTAGCTTTTAATTGGGCAGTCTGGTATGCATTTAAGTTGTGCCAGGTCATATTTCTTTTAAAAGTGGAGAATGCTAATCTTCTTTGTGCGACTGCTTTTGAGCATCTTTTGTTCCACCAGTGTTTTGGGATGAATGCTGGTTTACCAGAATTCACTTGGTTTTTACAAGTGGGGATACTCAACAAGGCAGCCTTATTTATTGCTATGGTGAGATGATCCACCGAGTAATTGTTTGTTTTTATCAGCTCAGTGTCTACTATCATAGTGAATTTCTCCCAGTTGGCGAGTTCAAAGTTTCTTTTACATTTTATCATTTTGGTGAATTCCATACTAGGTTTTTTGGATAACTGTCTAATATCAAAAGACATAATAATAGGTAAGTGATTGCTGCCTAAGGCATCACTTGTCACCTCCCACTTTTGAAGGAGAGCATGCAGAGGAGGGGTACAGAATGATAGATCGATTGTGGCTTTTCTCTGAAACATGGTTGGTGTGGTTGTTGGAGATTTATCATTAAGTAAAATGAATGATGAGTTGTTATACTCATTGAAAATATCATAACCTCTTTTATTAGCCTTGCCGTCACTCCAGTATGGGTGATGGGCGTTAAAATCACCACAGATGATTGAGTATCCATTGTCATGACAAAATAATTTATTATACCAGAAATCTGGATCTACAGATTGATTAGTGGCATATGTGTTGTATATAGTGATGGGTGTTTTAAAATTAGATAGTTGAACAACCTGTAGTTGTAGTCCAGCCGTGTTTATATCTAATACTGGGCTAATTAACAGAGATTTGTGGCTAATGAAGGCTATGCCTCCATAACCATCAGGTCTGTTTAACCCACGAATGACGTAATTATTGTCAGCGAGAATGTCATTGTCCTTCAGCCAGGTTTCTTGGATTAGTCCTATGTGGATTTTGTTTTTTGTCATAAAATGAGTAAGTTCTGGCCATTTAGGTTTTATCGATCTGGCATTCCATTGAACTATTTTTAGGTTACTTATGTCCAGATTTAGATGTTAACTTTGATTGAGTTGTGTTACTAGGTTTAGTATCATTTAATGGGTCTGATTGTTTTTATTTGTCAACGTTTTATTGGTCCGGTGTGGGGCCATTAGCGAAACTAACATCTCGTCAACTTGTTGAAATGTTGTTATGGTAGGGGACTTATGTCTTAGGCGTATTTGTTTAATTAATTGATCTCTGTCATAGTTTTGTACTGAGCTAGTGTTGGATGAGCCTGCCTTTTCAATGGAACTGGCATTGGAGCTAGCAGTTTGATAAACACCCAATGTTTTTTGGGTTGACTGCACTCTATTATGAGTTTTACCATTGTTTCTTTGGTAAGTGGGTTGGGTTTTTTGGTGATTACCAGGTTGTTTTGGTTTACTGAGCGGTGGGTATGCAGGGTTTTCTGTCAGTGGTTCTGTTTCGTCAATCTCTTGTAGGGACGAGAAACTATTTTGTAAATTAAGTTGATAGGAATTAGTGGCGTTTTGGTAAGAACACTGATCGCTCTTAATGGCCTGTGCATATGATTGGGAGCTATTAGGCTTTGATGGACTTTTTTGTACGTTATTGGGAATTGTTTGCTTGCGGTAAAGTAATCTGTTCTATTCATGCTCATGTGATCTTTGATATTTCTTTGTCTAATATATTCAGGGCAGTTTTGGGAGTTGCTGGAGTGAGGGCCTAAACAATGTACACAATTGCGAGGTTGAACACAATCACCGCTGTGAAACTGCTCGCTGCAGTCCCTACAGATTTTGGTTTTAGTGCAAGGGGACTTAGCTGTGTGACTATAGGCA